TCATTGGGACAAGACCTACTGGGAAGAGTTGCTGTGATCACTAGGCCTGAGCTGTTTGGGTTTCTTTGAATAAAGAGTTAACTCTGGCTCCTGACACTTAGCAGGTTTTTCCTCCTCCTCCTAACCTTCCTACCGAACTCTTACCTTCCTACTGGTTCCTCCACTTCAAAGCAAGATGTTTTGCAAGCCGGGATAATATGATTCAGAACCAGCCCTGCCCACGCACAGGTCCCCTGCCTCCCTCTGGATTATCGTGAAGATTAATAATGGCCATTGCCAACAAACAACAGAACCCCTCAATCTGCTGCTTGACAAAACTTTAATTAAATGCATGCGCTCACACAACTACTTCTGCCGCATCCTTCTCTGCAGGAGGAAAATGCCATTAGCGATGCAGGATCGCTGCCAAAAAAGCAGAAGAATGTTACAACCGGAAGCAGAGATTTCCCCGTGGTTGGGATACCAGGCAGTCGTTTGAATCAGAGCAATTAATTGGTCTCCTGGGTTTATTATCTGCATCATCTGATGGCACTGAAGCGAATGCAGGCAGCCATTTGCCAAGTGGGGGCAGGAACTTCCAGCAACGGGGGTTGCTAATTGGGATTGAGGGACTCCATCACAACCACCACTGTGGGGTGGCTAGGGAGGGAATCCCTGTTCTTATTGGTAACTACCAGGAGAGGATGGTGACTACAGCGTGACTATTATTATTGCTGCTGCTGCTCTTCCTGTTATTCCACTATTCTGAAAAATCACCCAAAAACACACACGGGGACACATTCCCATCTGGGAGAAGGAAAACAGCAGCTTGATGCAGCTCAGAGAGGGGATGGAAATTGCAGGAGGAAGGGCAAGTGGGAACCCTACTGGAGCCATTCCCGTTTTCCAGGACTATGACATGTTGCATAGTGTGTAAAATGTTAGAGGAAGCCATCTAAACAACAACAAACATGCTAGGGTGACTGTGTGCCTGGAATGTGCCTGTAGTCTCCTGGGAAGTTGACCACTTGGCTTCCAGAAGGCATATCCAATTACAAATGTGTGCCGACTGGTTTTAATGATGTATAGGGTGGAGAGCTCAGCAGGGCAGCCTCCTCCCTGCCCTGCTCCTCCCCTTGTCTGCTGTGATTTACTCCTACGCAGACCTGCTTGCCACAGTTCACACTTGAGAGCCTGAATTTGGCAGGATCTGCCGGGGCCTAAGCAAAAGAAGCACCCGCCACACCAGTAAGTACCACACTGTGCCCCCCTGAAAGGGACATTTTTGATTATGTATATACATCCTTACGGAGCAAGTATTTCTGAAACCGAATCCAGTAGAGAAAAGTAGGGGAATGCGTAGGGAGGACTGAGGTGATGGGTTTTTTTCCTAGAAAAAGAAGTGCTGGAACTCACCATGAACACCTCCCTTGTTCTCTTATACAGTGGTACCTTGGGTTAAGAACTTAATTCGTTCCAGAGGTCCGTTCTTAACCTGAAACTGTTCTTAACCTGAAGTACCACTTTAGCTAATGGGGCCTTCTGCCACTGCACCGCCGCTGTGTGATTTCTGTTCTCATCCTGAAGCAAAGTTCTTAACCCGAGGTACTATTTCTGGGTTAGCAGAGTCTGTAACCTGAAGCGTCTGTAACCGGAGGTACCACTTTAATGGCAATGGCACCCACCTGAGAAGTGCCGGAACTGGGTTCCGGCAAGTTCCAGCTGAAAAAAGGGTTGTCTGTGGGAGACCCAGGTTCAAAACCACCAGCAGTTTTATGCACAAGCTCAGGAAGCTTCAGCTTGGAGCCTCTAAATACAAAATGAATGACTAAATTTAAAGTTTTGTATAACTCGGTAAAGGAAACAGAAAACAGCCATCAAGGGCTGCCCCAAGCAGAGCGTCCTGCAGTAGTCCAGTTGGAACATAATGTTACAGAGGCTAAATCAGACATTATTATTCTGATGTGGAAGAAATAGTTACTTTATTACTTTATTATTTCTATTTTCATTGTCCATTCCTTTAGAATAAATGTTTTTTGGTGCTGCTATGGGGGATCTTTAGTTCAGCAAAGCTTGGGACCTCAGTGTGTCTTAATCCAGCCCTGTTCAAACCCTACTCAGCCGTGAAGCCCACTAGACCAGTCTATCTCCCTCTCTAGGAGGGAGACCATTGCATGCCACCTTGAGCTCCTGGGAAGAAACTAGTGGGACCTGCAATAGAACATTGCAGCATGGAATGATAGAAGTTTATAATATTATGCGTGATTTGGAGAAAATGGCTAGAGAAGTTTTTCTCCCTCTCTCAAACACTGTTTTGTTGTTGTTCTTGTTGTTGTTAGACCCACCCACTTTAAAATGTCATAGATTAACAACCAAACGCCTAGTTGAAAAAGAATGTATTCCTGGCACCAAAAGATATGCAATGAAGGTGCTTGGGCAAGTCTCCCTGGGGAGAGCATTCCACAAACGAGCTGCAATTATTCATGCTCATCAACTTGAATAGGTCTACTCTGATTAGGACTATCATTGGCTGGGCTTTTGACTCTACAGCTCACTGGTGATAAAGACTGAAGACGTTAAATGGGTTTTTCAAAGCTCTGCCAAAGCTACATGCAGCCTGGCTCTGGTACTGGTCTGCCAAATTAATTGCCACTTTGGAAAGGAAGTTTACCGTCCTCCTTGCACAACAGGGTTATTTTCTTCCTGTTGGGAAATGCGTTGTGGACTCCCTATGCACTTCAAAACCATGGCAATTTTCCTTCAGCACAGCCTTCATACTTTGCCAAATTTTGTTGATGCTATGTGTTAGAGAGCTTTCATGTGTATAAATTGGCTTAGTGTTTTGGGTGTATGAAAGCAGAGGAGGTGACATTTCAGGGCAGGCAAGCAAATTTATGCAGGGAAGGAACAAGGTTCTTTCAGAAAGGGTTAAAGCCTCCCCACTCCCTTGAGTGGGGCTGAGCAGATGGAAAACATGCAGACCTTGCTGTGGAAGTAGTTATCCACCTGGCAGACAGGCAGATATATATACAGTTAGGCTTAAATTGCAGAGAGAAGCAGAGTGAAAGATGGTGTTGCAATTATGCTTATAATAACTGCAGTTCAAACAAAAATGAAATAAAAGCTCAAAGCATGAAATTCAGGGTACGAAATTGCAGGTTTCCAGAGACAAATGGTCTCTGGAAAAACACTAAATGTGCCTTACGTTTGCCTCTGCATCTATATTGTTTTGAGTTTGTGGGTGCAAGACCTCTCTAATCCCTGGATCCAGTAAATGTGGGAATTTAAACTGGGTGCCAGACTTGGATTCAGCAGGTGTTAAAAGCTAATCAAGCAAGGCTAGCTTCTTGGTGAGGTGAAAGGAAACCAAAGGAAGGGGCTTTGTGGGAGACGCAAATCTCTCAGCTCGCAGACAGTGAGAATGAATGAAGGCAGTGTTGAGAATTAGGAGTTATGTGGCTGAGAAGCAAGGTAGCAAGCGGAAAAGCCAGAGAGGTAGAGAAATGGTGGATCTCTGCTTGAATCCAAAGCAGTGGCTATGGGAGAAACGAGACCCTTTTGGGGTGTTGATACTGCGAACCCTCCACTGTAAGCTAAGCTTGTACATATGTGTAAATAAACCATATATGCTAAAGACACCACAGTCTCCCCTGTGCCTCATTCCCAAAAGGAAACATGAGTGTTGGGGAAGCACCTGGAACTCCTGGAGACTTGTACCGCTCAAAGATTGGGGTGGTGTGCAAGTAAGTGTGTGTGTTTATTATAAGGACAATACAAAAAGAAAACCAGGAACGTATTTCTTTTCCATCATCTCATTATACGTAAGAGGGGTGTACAACAGCCTGTAAACAATGAAAAGTGAAAAACCATTAAAAATGGGACAAAATAATCATTAGAATGCTGGCTAATCAAGATGCTTTTAAAGAGCAGCATAGGCCTATCGGCATTTTTAAAAGTCTCCCAAAAGTGCCTGAAAACCCAAAGGGAGGATATCTAGTATGTAACATTCTTCAGAGTTCCAAATTTCATGCGCTGGTGTTGGTAACCGACAGCTTCCGTTCTCCCGACATTTCCCTGTTAATTTCTGCATAATATTTGAACCGTCACATGACATAAGAGCCGCTTCCATAAATATAGCAGAATATATCACAAATAAAGCGCCCATTTCTGTTATTTGCAGGCAGACTTTTCCCCCTGGAAACAAATCTTCTTCTTCTTTGGCGATCACTCGTAGCTGAGTAAGATTGTCTTCCATAAACACGGTTTTAACAATGAGTCCGTAAGTGACTGTGGATGCCGATTCTGGATCCACACATCTTTCCACAGTGGGGACATTGGTTTCTGGGCAGTAGTTGATCATGGTGAGAGTTTGCTAAGCGTGCCTTCCTCTTAGCACGTTTCTCCCTTGCATCCTGAGTTCAAGCGTCTTCAAAGCCCATGACACCTTTGGTAAAGGCACTCAAGTCGAGCTATATTCCATTACAGTGGTACCTCGGGTTAAGTACTTGATTTGTTCCGGAGGTCCGTACTTAACCTGAAACTGTTCTTAACCTGAAGCACCACTTTAGCTAATGGAGCCTCCTGCTGCTGCCGTGCCGCCGGAGCACAATTTCTGCTCTCATCCTGAAGCAAAGTTCTTAACCTGAAGCACTATTTCTGGGTTAGCGGAGTCTGTAACCTGAAGCGTATGTAACCTGAAGCGTATGTAACTGTACCACTGTATATTTACAGAAGTGGCTTTTGCAGTGTGTGGAAGCTCAAACATAATATGGGAATTGACAGTTAGGGAAATGGAATAAACGGTCGTATGAATGCAGCCGAGGTCAGCACTGCGACCTCAATGTGTCACTAAGTCAGATGTGAGCCAGCCACAGCACTCTTGACGTAGTTCGTCCCGTCCCCCCGTCCCCCGTCCCCCCGGGTCTCTGCATTCACTGTTGTCCAGAAATAAGGACACAGAACCATAGAACTGAAGAGTTGGAAGGGTTATCTAGTCCAACCCACTGCAATGCAGGAATCTTTTACCCAACGTGGGACTTGAACCCACAGCCCTGAGATTAAGAATCTCATGCTGAACTGACTGTGCTGTTTCACTGGGCAGAAGAATGGTTTCACAACCACATAGCACATGCAGTCACTGACATTCTCTGTGGGTTTCCTCTTCTTGTTTTGAAGGGTCAAGCAACGATGCCGAGCTTTATTGGCAGTGCTCTTCGCGGGAACTTCTTCCTGATGCTCGGCCTGTGGTGGTCCATCAAATACCCCATAAAGTACATTCTTCTAAAGCTGGATTCAGGCAACCCGCACAGCCATTGGATCCAATCTATGGATATTATCGAAGGAACAGTGAAAGCTTTCTTTGCTCTAGGAGGTACTATACTCCAACGTCATCTTCCTGCTGCAGGAGAGATGATGTACCATTATGAAGCATCTTTTCTACATCTATGTCTCGGCGCTGACAGACGAACGGGGGGGGGGGGGCAGGGGGGAGCGACACGCCCCAGACACGCCCCCGCCTGTTCGCCACTCCACCACTGTGTCTCAGGGAAATTTACAGTCCTACCATAGAAACGACTGGAAATAAGTTTGAAAACAGTACAAAACGAACCCTTAAGGGCAGAGACATTTTCACCTTCCTGGAAAGGCTAGTTGCAACAAAAAATGACTTCAGTTGTTTTCAGAGTGCACATACACTGAAAGCCCTGCTCTGAGTTACTGGGTAGCAAAGCTTCTGATACTTTAGGGACTTTGTAGAGTTGGAAGGGATCCAAGGGTCATCTAGTCTGACCCCCTGCAGTGCAGCTAAAGAGTGTCTGACAGATGGCCACCCAACCTCTAAACAAAGCCTCCAGTGAAGGAGAAACTCTCCTGTAGAATGCAGCAACCTAATGGGTATATAAGGTCTCTCAAGGAAGCTGGTCCGGAGCTGCAGAGGGCCTTATACGCTGACACCAAAACCTTGGGTTTGGGCCAGTGGCAGAATGGCAGGCAGTGCAAATACTGCAAACACGGTGCTATACGCGGGTGGCAATTTGCTTCCAAAGCAACCTGGCCGCTACCTTCTCCGCCAGCTTTCTGACTGCAAGCCAGAGAGCAGAGCCTTAGAGGCTGATCTTAATGCTGGTGACTTTTTGGACAACCTGGTCCCACACCGTTTAGGGCACCAGGGGGAAAGACCAGCACTTTTAATGGAGCCCAGAACTGAAATGGCAGCCAATATAACTGGCACCAGAGTGAGTGTAGTGGGATCTTCTGCCCATTTTTGCAGACTAGCCACAAGTGTCCTGCCGGGCACATTCTGTACCAGCTGCCGTTTCCAAACCATCTCTAAGGACAGCCCCATACAGTAGCCTGGATGTAAAAGAAGCATGTGTCATTTGGTCGGCTTTCTCTAGGCAGGGCCACAAATCTCAAATCAGCCTGAGCTGGAGTTGCCAAAGGCCCATCTAGTTCAGCATCCTGAGGTCACAGCGGCCAACCAGATGCCTGTAGGAATCCTGAAAGCAAGACATGAGCACAACAGCACTCTCCCCACCTGCAATTCTCAGCAGTGGATATTCAGAGACAGATTGCCTCCCATGGCGGAGACAGAGCATAGACATTGTGGCTAGTCTTCTAGGTCTTAGAAAGTCCGCTCAGTTGAATAACTGCCTCATATCAAACAGTTGGAAAAACAGAATTGCTGAGTTTGTGTGTATGTAAAAAAAATAAGTCATGCTATTGAAATAGCAAGTTTTAGTGTGAAAATCAGCAAACATACAGCTCATCCTTAGCCTGTGCGTAACTCAGGCATCCCCAAATTCGGCCCTCCAGATGTTTTGGGACTACCCATCATCCCTGACCACTGGTCCTGTTAGCTAGGGGTGATGGGAGTTGTAGTCCCAAAACATCTGGAGGGCCAAGTTTGGGGGTGTCTGTCGTAACTTGTAAAGAACCCCAATGAGACACATTATTACTTGCTAAGCCAGTAAGAGTTTAAGGTCAGGAGGCTTCCTTAATACTTGCACTTACTGAGCTCTTTCTGCTGTGTGTTCTTCCTTTCCACCCTTTCATGTACACCTGCCTTCAAATTTTGCCCAGTCCTTCACTCTGCTAAGGAAGCAAAATGACTTGTGTCCTGCCTTACAGGAATACTGGCTGAGCAGCTGGTCCCGGGTGGACCTCACCTTTCTCTCTACGACAGCGAGACCCAAGACTGGGTCCAGCTGATGAGCTGGCAGCTCATGACCATGTACCTCTTCTATGGCTTTTCTGGAGTGGCGGGTGTCCTTGTCCATACGTCGCTCAAGTTGCCAGTGGGGCTGGATCGCCTCCTGTTGGCTCTGGCTTTGTTTGCAGAAGGTGAGCAATGAACAGAGGCTAACGGTCCGAAGCATTAAGATGGACAAGTCAAAAGGGTCGTGATGGGAAATGGCAGCTGCCCCCAACTAAAGACCCTGTTCAGGGATTGTTCTTCAAGCTCTGGAGCCTTGGGGCAGGGTGAACACAAGACATTCTGCTAGCTAGGAGGCAGTGATGGCCAACAACCTAGATGGATTTAAAATTCAGGGAGGGGAAGGCTATGAATGGCTATTAGCCAGGATGGCTGTGCTCTGCCTCGGTGGTCAAAGGCAATAATGCTTTAAAATACCAGTTTTGGGAAGCCAGAGTGCTCTTCTGAAATAAAAAGTTCTGAGTAGGCATCTGAAACTCAGTAAAGTGTCTGCCTAACTTCTTGTGGCAGGGAGTTCCATGGAGTTGGGCCCACGAAACTGAAGGCACGGCTCATGGTTGCTATGAGCTGTGCTTCTGCAAACCACAGTTTCCCCAACTCCTGCTGATACCTCTTCTCCTGCAGGAGGTTGATGCCATTTGGACTACGTAAGAAATGGCACTCCCACCCTGAGCACCGGAGCACAAAAGCCTGTGGGCTATGACCACTGTGATTTATTGACGAGTAACTGTCTTTTGTACACATAATTAGGAACATGGGGGGGAAAGGCTTTATTCCTCCATCTTTTTAGCATGCGCTCAAGTGTGGAGCGGTAATTCTAATGTTCGCTAGCCATTATAAGCACAGAATCATGGGGCGTTAAGTACTTGAGGCTTAGCAAGACTGTATTATGTGATCTTGAATATACATGCAGATCACCTAATCGCAGCAAATAGGCAACTAGAGAATTGGCGAGTAGTTTATTTACATAAAATGGCCACTAGGGGGCAATTACGGTTTATGGAAGAGGCTAGTTTATTTTCCATTATAGTTTCCTACCCCAGCTTTAAAAAAAATATTTTGAATGTACCCTGATGTATTAATTTAGCAATAACCAGACACACAAAGCTGCCTTATACTGAGTCACACTGTTGTGTTTATCTAGATCAGTCCTGTCTGCTCTTAGCAGCACCTTTCCAACACTTTTCAGGGGGTATTTCTCCCCACTTCCCCCGCAATCAGCCCAGCTGCTCTGCATCCTTTTATAATTTAAGGGTAAAAGAACCAGACAAGGTCTCTTCTGCGTACAAAACTGGTGATCCCTCACTGCATAAGGTCCCACCTTCAGTGACTGCTTTTTTCCAAAGGCTGTTGAAACAAAAAGCCTCCTGTGTTGCAGATGAACTCCACCTTAATCAGCTGCTATCGAATGAAAATGTTAGCAGGGTGGCAAGAAACAATCCTGCTTTTAAGGGACGAAATCTGTTCAGCTCTCAATGTGATGTGAACCTACCTCTTTCGTACTTCCTGAATCCGTACGTGAACCACAATACAGCTATTATTCGTCTTTCACACTTCTCTGAAGCACCAGAACCCTCTCCCTTATTGTGATTTCCAGCAACTGCTTCTGACCGTGTAGACCAAGCACAGCGGCCATGAAGAAGAGCCACTGATAGTCCCCGCCTCCATTAACTTGTGCAATCCTAATTGAAAGCCAAGTTGGTGGACATCACTGCCTACCAAGGAAATGAGTTGCATGCTTTAACTATGCTCTGTGTGAAGAGATTGCTTTCTTTTATCTGCCCCGAATCTTACAGCATTCAGCTTCGCTAGACATGCCCTAGTCGTACTGTTAAAGGTAAAGGGACCCCTGACCATTAGGTTCAGTTGTGGCTGACTCTGGGGTTGCGGCACTCATCTAGCTTTATTGGCCGAGGGAGCCGGCGTACAGCTTCTGAGTCATGTGGCCAGCATGACTAAGCCACCCTTTACCTTCCCGCTGGAGCGGTACCTATTTATCTACTTGCACTTTGACGTGCTTTCGAACTGCTAGGTTGGCAGGAGCAGGGATCGAGCAACGGGAGCTCACCCCGCCGCGGGGATTCGAACCACCAACCTTCTGATCGGCAAGTCCTAGGCTCTGTGGTTTAACCCACAGCGCCACCTGCATCCCTCTTAGTCGTACTGTTAGGAGGGAGAAAAAGGTTTCTCTGTCCACCTTTTTCCATGCCATGAATAATTTTACAAATTTTCCATCATGTTGCCTCTTCCTTGCCTTTTCTCTAAACTAATAAGCCCCGAATCGCTTTGAGAATTATGCAAAGCACACATCAACAAGTAAAGTGACTGCCCTACTACAGCTGTTTGGTGCTAGAGACACCATGATTCACAAATGCCCACATTCTGCAGCCAAGATCATCTCAAAGCCCAAAGAGCTGCAGTGCAATGAGCAATGTTCATTGAGTAAAAACGCCACATCCGTTTAGAGTGCAGCAACCTCAGAATATATGGAATGAGGAGCTTGGGAGGCATGATCAAAATATATTCCACTGCCAGCCAGGGACAAAATGGGCCAAAGCTTGAAATGGCCTCTGACTGCCCACACATAGAAAGCAGAGGGAAACACCTACTTAACATGCAGGCAGGCTTCCCAACACGTATTGATTTAAGAATCCTTGAAGGTCCAATTTTGCTAATGCTCTTGAGTAATCGTCCCCTGTGGTTTGGATTCTGGCAGGCTTCCTGTTCCATTTCCATGACTACAAGGACGCCGCGTTGACGGAACATCTCTATCGTCTCATGAGCATCGCTGTGTTTGGAGCTGCCCTCTGTGCCTCGCTGGAGGTCTTCCAACGAGATCACACCCTCCTGGAGCTCTTCAGGGCCAGCCTCTTCATCCTCCAAGGATCCTGGTTCTGGCAGGTTAGTAGCCGGGGGAGTGGCAGGAGATGCCTGTGCTTCAGATTTAATGTCCAGGTCTGTGAAATGTTTAAATCAATACCCCCCCCAACATGTGCTGGAGTGCAAGTGTGTGCCAAGAGAAAAGTGTTGCTGTGAGAAATGCACTGGAATAATAAAAGGTGGCTGTGAGCCAGTGGCACCATCAGGGCAGGACCTTAGGGCAGAAGTCCAAGGACCCACTCAGCAAAATGACCAGGAGGTGCCTCAGTTGCGGCAAGGCAGGCTTATCACATTTTGAAGTCAGTGAAGTGGTTTACATTGCCATCTAAAAAGAGCAGGGAGGAGACCATTTACCCCATCCTTTTAAAGCCCTATGGGAGAACTTTAAATTAAGAGTCATGGATTCTTCCCCAAAGCATTCTAGAAGCTGTGTTAAGAGTGCTGGGAGTTGTCTCCTATTTCTGTCCCAATACTACATTTCCCAGAGTTTGCTGTGGAGAGGGATTGACTGTTAAACCACTCTGGGAAATGTGGCTCTGAGAAAGGAATAAAGGACTTATAACAACTCCCAACACTCTTAAACTGTATCTTTAAAAAAAATGGAGGGGAAGACTGTTTAATGTAGTATCATCACAGAGCTTTAGAGGTTTGGTGTGAATGCAACCTAAGATTAGCTAACAGCACCACTTCTGTGAACCAAAGTAGATTTCTGAGTTTAAGGGTTCATTTGCAAACCGGAGAAACATTCTTGGGCACCACACACAACACCCAATTTAACTGGCTGCAACAAAACGCTTCATTTGAATTTCAGCAGAGATGGGGAAGAAGAGGGGATTCTGGGGGTACCAGGGAAGGCCTCTGTTGGGCACCTGTACGCCAGTGGGTGCTATCCTGGCAACTCCTATATTATACTCCTGGATCTACAGCTCTAGATGATACGACATCTCTCTTTGCAACCCTCAGATTGGCTTTGTTCTGTATCCACCATGGGGAGGTCCAGGCTGGAAACAAGAGGAGCATGGAAACAAGAACTTCCTGACCGTGTGCTTCTTTTGGCACTATGCCGTTGGCCTTCTTGTGATGGCAGCCAATGGTTTCATCAGTCAGCGGTGAGTGTTGCTCATTAGATAGGCAGTGGGTGAACCCAAAATGATCCAGTGGAATGCTTCATGTGGGAACAGGTAGCCATGGTTGGCTAGTGGTAGTCCAAGGATGGACATTACTTATGTCTTGGCCGTGTTCAATCTTTTCTACTTAGGATAGGGATGAGCAATCTGTGGGCTCTCCAGGTGTTGCTGGAATATATTAGTGGCCCATCATCCCTGACCATTAGTCACGCTGGCAGGGGCTGGCAGGAGTTGGGAGTCCCCAACAACATCTAGAGGGCACATATCCTCTAGCCTCAAATAGCAGTGTAAAAAGTTGTGGGAAGGGGAGAGAAACAAGTAACTTCTTTCCTTTTGTCACTCCTGAAACATACTCCCTCCCCACTTCAGGCCTGTGATAGCCAATAGTAAGGTAAAAAAGGTAAAGGACCCTAGACGGTTAAGTCCAGTCAAAGGTGACTATGGGGTTGTGGCACTTGCCTCACTTTCAGGCCAAAGGAGCCGGAGTTTGTCCACAGACAGCTTTCCGGTTCATATGGCCAGCATGACTAAATTGCTTCTGGCGCAATGGGACACTATGACGGAAACCAGAGCGCATGGAAACATTGTTTACCTTCCCGCCGCAGTGGTACCTATTTATCTACTTGCACTGGCGTGCTTTCAAACTGCTAGGTTGGCAGAAGCTGGGACAGAGCAATGGGAGCTCACCCCATCGCGGGGATTCAAGTTGCCGAACTTCCAATCGGCAAGCTCAAGAGGCTCAGTGGTTTAGACCACAGCATCACCTGCATAACTGATCTCATACCAATACTGATGCGTCATTCACATCAAGCCAGTGCATTGCTCCACACTGACAACGTATGTGGCACATTGTTCCTGTAGCAGTTTGAAAAGGAGTAACATCCATTCTTTGACACAGTGTGTGGCTCAAAAATATGCCCCCCGCCTGCCAAAACTGTATTTTTAAAATCCTTCCTTCTTATCCACCCTTCTTCACACTCTCTGAGAAACTCACATCAATATAAAACAGTTCAATATTTTTAAAAAAGCTGTTGTAAAAACGTAACGGAATAACTACCAAGAACAATAAAAAATGGATCAGGTGGTAGGCAGAGAAATGCAGACAAAGGAACCCCGTGGAGTAACATCAGACAGACGTCAAGCAATGCTCAACAGCTGGCGTCATGATTGCACAGTGTGCCAGCCTGTGTGGCTTGACCATTGCTTTGCAACCTCCATGGGAACAGGGCGTGAGGTCAACAATTATGCTGCTGTCAATTCCTTAGCACTTGCTGAAGTGGGTTTTGTGTCTCCCCGTTGCTTATATCAATATATTTGGGGGTTTGCATTTCTGCAGCTGCAGTAATGGATGTGGAGTAAACTATGGAAACGTCGAAGTGGAACTGGATGTGGAGCTGGACTTGGCATGTTGTCTATGGAGGAAAAACCGAACCCCGGATCCTGTCCTCCTACCAGAGAACATCTCAGATGAAAAATGAAGGGTCGCATTTTCCCCTATTCTTCAAGATTTTTAAAAAAACTGTGAAGTTTCTAGTTCCCATCTGACATAAAGGGTGCTCTTTATATTAAAAACAAGCATAGTAGTCAACGGCAAAAGGGGAGAAGCTGTACCCTCTTATATAAGTGTTCAAAGCCTTCAGCTGCAAGCACACTCACCTCAGCAAGTTCCCAAAAAATTATATCCGAGGGCCAAAGTGTGCACTGGAAAATGTCCTGCTAATGAACTTTGTGGCTTTAAAAAAAAAAAATACATCAAATCTGATGACCTTTTGAGGACTTTGTGTTTACACTGCGTGGGACATGCAATTTGTAATTAGATTTAGTTGTAAGCAATGGGTTGGATGTCAAGCTGCCCAGTTAAATGAGTGGCAAAACCCTTTAGGCATGATCATTATAAAAACCACTCTGGAGTCCATTAGAGCTGCAGCCACATCTGTAATGCGAGTTGGCCAGATTGTGGTTCTGACTGGTACATTTGGCACCGTATTGAAATTTCTGCATGCAGTTTAATTCATCTATATGCATATGTGTACATATGTGTATTGCCAATAAAGGGTGGTTTTCTGCAGAGACTTTTCAAGGGAGCAATCTATATGATGTCTATTGAACATTGATACCTCATTCACCTTCCACACATGTACTGGAAACATAACAACAGTGTGATATATACAGCTCCCTAGAACATCAACATAACCAAGTATATTCTAGGCCACATCGGCACTATCCATTTAAAGGAGTATCATGACATTTTAAACTGTTGTGGCTTCCCCCAAAGGATACTGGAAGTTTAAGGATGTGGAGCTATAATTTTCAGAGTGGTTTCGTTGCAGGAATTTATGTATTGGGGGTGGGGTTGCCCCTCCAGCAGATATCATGCACATGCAGCCCACTACCAAAATCAGCACAATCACTTTTGTGACTTTTGTGATTTGTCCCCATAAAACACTTCATCAGTTTCTTCCTATCTATTCAAAGGGTCTTTGCTGCACAACACCAAATGTAACAATTCACTGATAAATTTATCTATGTACTGGCTCAATGGGGAAACTTCAGAAATTCATAGAGACATGTGAGCTCAGCTACTCAGCAGCCCCTCTGCCTGAGTGATAATCCCTGGCATCCTGATACCTGAGTGCCAGACAGGTAGCCATTCCAGAAATAACAAACTCGGATAAAGACAAAAGGGTGTGAGTAACTTGGCTGGGAAACGGAAATGTAAATGCCTCTTTTGTTTCACTTGATAGATGTTTGGTGGAGGGCTAGGGGAGCATTGGGGCAGGGTCCAGGATGCTCAGCACCAGACCTCCCATCTCATGATGTAACGATGATGTATTAGTGATGTAGTTTAGGGGGGTGTAACATGGGGATTAGCAGCTAATAAAAGTTTGGGTTCTCTTTTGTACGGGGCCTCCATCTTGTTTCACCTTGTGGCAAGGTGGGAGTCCTGTCGCGACAGTCTTCAATAAAGACCAACCCTACTGGCTGCTGTTTTGCTCTGGTATTCCTGGCTGGTGTCCTTGTGTTTTGTCCAAGGGAGCCTTCAGATTTCTCCGTTAACAGTTTTAAAAATAAGCCCTTTCCCCAGGGAATTCTCGGAACTGTAGCTCGGGTGGGTGGGGATAGGGGGGTCTCCCGACACTTCTCAGCACGCTGAACAAGCGAGGGCAAGGAGCAAAAACGGGAGCTGCATCACTCCTTCCCAGGTCCTGCTGCCACCCCAAGTGAAAATGTGGGCTGGAATGAGAGAAACCACAAGCACAGGTTCAAGCACAATGGTTAGTCCAAGTATGGCTTCACTCCTGGTGGTGAAGTAGCAGAGGGAGAAGTGGCATATGGTCCACAATGTTTCATCCAAGCACTTGCACACTTGCTTGGCCACACCTAGCCGCAGTTCAGCTTGCAAACTAGGCCTCTGTGTGTAAGTGCAAGCATAGAATCTCCATAACAACTTTGGCAGAACCACATAGAAATCCACAGACAAATACCGTATTTTTTGCTCTATAAGACTCACTTTTTCCCTCCTAAAAAGTAAGGGGAAATGTGTGTGTATCTTATGGAGCGAATGCAGGCTGCGCAGCGATCCCTCTTGTTGTTCTGGCTTCTGGGATTCAGAATATTTGTTTTTCTTGTTTTCCTCCTCCAAAAACTAGGTGCGTCTTGTGGTCTGGTGCGTCTTATAGAGTGAAAAATACAGTGGCTTCACTATTAATTTCACAGGACTTCCAGAGGTACAACATCCTTCTGATTGGATAACTGAGAAGTTTCTTTGGGGACATTTTAGTCTTGTTATGGTTTCGGGTAAGCTTGTGGTTACATTCTTTGGATCCACATTTGAACACAGTGTTTTCAGGTATGTTTAATCTATCCTAATCCCCTGGATAATAATACACTTTAGTTGCGCACGCAGCTTTGGCATTCAGTTCAAATTTGCCTCTTGGGCGTCTACAGCATTAATCAAACTCCCCCAGAATTGCAGATAAAGATGCTTAATCTTGGGTGTTTCCAACTGCTCTTTATCATTCCACCGCTCACGGGAAAGAATAACCCGAAATCAAAAATGCCAGGATGACCCAATGGGTCTTGGTGGCCTCTTGTCTCTTTTTTATCCCTTACCAAGCATTAAATTTTGTATTTCTGATCGGTCTAGCAAAGTACAGTGCCTTCTGGGAGCAAATCAATTCACAACAGAGCAGCTGCAACTTGGCAACACAGCCATTACAATAAACCCAACCACTTCGGCACTGCCATTGCTCTGTAAGGTAATGTTAATGAAAAGCTAGGGGAGGCCAAGGCAAAGAGCCTCCTCACTCAGTAGCAAGAGACTCTTAAGAGTCCTTGAGGTTTATGGCAAACCCAATTTAAAACTATGGGTTATATTTACAACTTCCCAGAGCTCCGGCTAAAAAATATGGGAGACCACCAGGCGCCTTTATGGATAGACACAGGAACCGATCTGGAAGTTAAAGTGTTTATTGATGTGATTCCAACTTTTTACATTCCCCACAGACCACACTAAGGAGTTTGCAGGTTAAGTAAATCTGTGCATAGTGGGAAGAGACATGGTAAGGGATGGAGGGGAAAAGAAAGGTCACAGAAAATAGAAAATAAAATAATACACCACAGGTTACCAGAACCTCCAGAATTTTAAAAAAAGCTGTGAGCATTAACACCAACTATACAAGCATTACAAAGACATGGTGGTGAACGGATCAGTGTCCGTGACGCTTCACAAATTCCCTTCCCTTCTCCATCGCTCGGACATTATCCCCTCTACCCTCCCTAACCCCACCCATAATGGAGAGCAAAGTGGCAATAAATCATGGGCTCCCCCAAATGCCTGGGCTATTTGCAACTGTATCAGGTGTCTCCCATTAGGAAGACACCCCAGTGTTGACTCCAGCTTCCTTGGGAAGACACAGCAGCCTCCCTAATCTGTAACGGTCATGATTAACCATGAAAGGAGTGGGCCTGGGTACATTAACAAAGAAGGGCTCTCTTACAATAGTGGCTGCTAAGGTAGGCTGGCTTAGGCTGCAGGGAAAGGATTTGAAGTCAAATGTTGCAGGCTTCCAATTCTACAAGGACCAGGTTCAGAAAAGTGGACAAAGTGTGCAATCCCAATCTGCACAAACCAGCTCCCAACATTTCACTAAGGCAGAAGCATTTCCTCTCCTTACCTCTATAGGATCTAGGATTTTTGAAAACCAAGCCACACAGCAGAAGAAGAAGACGTGCACAGGTCACTGGAATCTGAGAATTTATATAAGGTTTCCATTATTGTGAATTTGCTTCCCTGGTTATTTATTTGTCTCCCAAAGACCCTAAACCCCAATATTTCATTTTTTTGGTGACTTTGGTGAAAACTTTATTTTAAAAAAGGAATACTGCTTTTATATATATATATGAATATATAAAAGCCAGAATGACCAAAGAGCCACAAATGTCTTGTTTATACAATGCGGTTGGTACATGACCTTGAATATACAAGTGGTGTATCAGAAATAAAACAACATTTCTCATTTATACAGAGAGTTTGTTATCAGACAATACGACAGCACTGGGATTTTCTCTCATTAGATTAAGTTTCTTAAAAAAAGAAAAAAAAACTACATCTCAAATATCTGCAATAGATCCATTTTCCCATTTAAGGTTTATATATCATATATTGTTATATTATCATTTCCTCACCCATTTAAAAGAATGGAATTTGCAACTCTACAGTAGTAATTAAGTCTTAAATGATCCAGGAGTTCTGAATGTAATATGAAGTCCTCTTCAAGCAAAAGTTGGTCAACAGCTGATCCAAAATACTGGACCATTTTTGGCCCTTCCTACCCTGAACCTTTGCTGGTCAGGGCTGCGGTGGTTTCAACAACTTTTAAATCTGCATCTGCTCCAAGTATTTGTAAGTTGGATTCTCGTATCCATGGTTTTGCATCTTATTCAGATGCCGCTCCTCTGGCGTGAGCATCGGGTCAACCTTCAAAGAAGAGAACAAACAGCGAGTGAAGAGGAGGCATGAAAGCATCTTGGGCTAAACGCATTTGTGGGGCCTGCTCCCTGGATAGAATTTAAGGGTATTAATCTCTTAAAACTGAGGTCTTTGTTGCAAGAGATTCAACTTCCATCATCTCCCTAAGAAAAGAAGCCTCAACTCCCGTCTGAATGCTCTTTCCCACATGCCTTATTGCACATGATCAAGCCAATAGCTAAAATGACAGTGATTTCCAGTCACTGCTCTGAACCTGATGATTTGTATGTTCTGTGCACGTGTGAACTGAGAGGATAATAGAAGTTCTCTCTCTCTTTTTAAAGCTATACCTTCAGCGAACCGCTTTGAACAGTCATAAGGCCACTGACTGCCAAACGCTCAAATCGGCAGAGAGCAACTGCTGCCACCCCATTCCCCCACCCAGCAGGTTGATCCAGCCCCTCCCCCCTCAGAGGCGATAAATCTCGAGGCCCCTCTCACCTCTACGATCCCATGGCTGATGGTTCCATACTGCCTCTTCCTCAGCATCACCAAGCTGATGACGATGACTGTGGCTATGGCAACAGCGATCACCAGGAGACCAATGAGAGCGCTGCTGCTGAAGCTGAAGTCGTCACGGAGCGCGTTGTCGTTTTCCTGCACGGGAAGGAAGTGATATGGAGGGGCTGAGAGCTGGAAATGAACATGACTAAACTAGCTTAGGAGGCACCTTCCTTTGACCAACTGCCACAGCAAGCATGAGATGTGCCTGGTCATGGTCTCGCCCTGATCCCTCTCACTGTGATCTGGCTGGCGGGGGGCACCTTGCAAAACACCTTCTCAGATATGTGACACACACATGGGACCTCTTCTGCTTATGTGTCTCCTACGTGGCCAATAACAAAACGTTTCTTCCAGCAAACTCTGGGTTTACTGCTCTTTGCAACGCTCATGGCATATTCAGAACTAGAAGAGGTATACACAGTGCTACTTAACACCCAGGTCAGGGCATGAAGTCCCCTAACAGCAAGCCTGGGGTGGTGGCTATATACATACCGGCTCATCCACCAGTCCACCGACTCGCTCAGGATTGAAAATCATTTCCTTCACATCAAGGGTTTCATCAATTACCTGAAAACAGTCATGAAGGAATTTTACACAAGGAGCTAATGACAGAAAGGAGGAATACTGGGAAGGGTGTGCATAAAAAATCACCTTGGGTTTGCAAAAAGGAGCAGCTTCTAAACTAAACAAATAGCAAAACTCTGCTAAGTCATTACACCCATCTCTCTGGCTCAGGTTTCATGTGCTTAGCAAAATCCCAATAGCTTCCAGGGCTAAAAAGGTAGGGCTTTTGCAAAACCAGTAAAAGAAGGCATCAAACACACAAACGCAAGAGAAAGGAATCTGGCCCACTAACTATGGTGGCTATGCACCACATATTCAGTGTAAAGGAGGTGCACATACATACAATTACACATACACAGGGACTCCTCCACACAAGCAGGAATCCTGGCTAATCAGGCCTCCTGTTCCCAAATAGAAGTCGCTACGTGTGTGCATTTGTGTGCATGAAGGGCTCCTTCACACTAAATATGCATGGCTGCCAGGGAAGCCCAGCAAGATGCAGGTACAGCAGCCAGCAAGACGTAGGAAGGTTCAAGTGACTATCTCTATCTATCTATCATATATCTATCTCTGTCTTGTTAGGTTATATTTGAAGCTTTCCCTGGTGGTGGAGAATGCTTGTGATGCGACATAGATGTCAGCTGGCTACATTTTAGTAGAATAGGTCTGGTTTGCATTCCATCAACCAGATAAAGTAATTTGCCTCCAAACAAGCTCCTATTTACAGTTTTCAACAAGGATGTAGACAGGAGGTGCAAACACAGAGTACATCTCAGCATCAGCTCTAAACACTACAGCCTGCTACACTTGACAGAAGATGCTGCCACTCAAAATAGCTGACAAATCTGTCGGTGGAGCCTGTGCCAGAGCACCAAACGGTTCTGTTCCGCCTCCCACATCCATAAAGCTGTCCAGGGCGAGGATGCTAGTTCTGCTTCCCTCACACTCCTACCCTTCCGTCTCTGACACATGCGGGAAGCCTGCGGGAGCTGCAAGTCAGTAATCTGCGCCTCCCCTGCACCATATGGAATGAGTCTAGTGACTATCAAGCAAGCAGCGGGCGACATGAAAGCAAGCCACATCTCAGGCTCTGTGTTTTCTGCAAAAAAATAAAATAAAAATGCAAAAGGACGTACCACATTCTCGTCCAGCTTGTTCTTGCTGTTGATTACTTTCTCTTCTGCCCCAATCAGTCCATCCAGGTCAGCCATGCCAGATCCTGTGCAGAAGAAACAAAGGAGGAGATCAGATAATGGAAAAGGCCATTTTGTCCTGTCTGTATGGCACCCGGTCTGTATGGCACACTACGATTCCTAGCTTCTCGTATATATACATATTATTAGATCTCCTTATTATGCACTTGTTAGAAGGACACCAAAGTGTTATGCTAGCAAGACAAACAATGAGAAGGGGGGGAGGGGCTGGCAAATGGGGGAAACATGATGGAAGTTTTTCCAGAAGGTTCAAGCACACACCCATTCTACAGTCAGCTAGTATGATATGGCACAAAGCAATGGGGATCCAGGGGAGATGTCCCTAGAGGCTGCTATAAATGCCCCATGAAACCAGGATGTGAGCCAGCATGCAAGAGATATTCTTGCCACAGCAAAGTCAGCACTGTCCCTTTGGAAAGCCTGCACATCAGCAACTAACTAGAGAACGAGCCTCAAAGTCATTCCAAACAGCTCGCCCACTGAGCAAACGTAATGAGTTCCTGTCCTGTGTCTGGCTCAAGTCCAGAATCAATTTCGAGGGAGGAGCAAATGAAGTTCCAAATATCAGTCAGCCTGTTCCCAATGAAACACTGCATGTGATAATGGAGGAGGATATCAACAAGCCAGCTCTGCATTTCCATTAAGACCTGAGCTTTCATACATTGATCGGGAGGAATAGCAGAAGAGACTGATGCAACAGTCAAACCACTCAAGTCACAAAGAGAATCTGATATCTGAATATTGCAAAATGCCGGCAGGCATTATGGATTTGCAGAAGGATCCAAGATAGCCACTGGATTCCTGAGATGCTCCACATATCCAAATTTTGCTTCATATGGTGCAAAGGAAATACAATATACACCAGTTAAACACTTCATAACTGATTGAACGCCTTGCCCTACCATTTGTTGTGCTCAGGGACGAGTTCATGTATTCTGTTAGCAAGGTTCTTTGAGGGCACGTGAATGATTAATTGTGTTTTGGGGCATCTGTCACAGTGACTTTCTTTTGTTTTCACTGCCTGAAAATGCCAAATAGTGGTGCAGTCACATTTTGCCTAGAGCATGTGGGCAGGTTAGACATCGTATAGGATGCCGACACCAAAGGAAGTCTAAAAACAGCAAGCAGAAAGAGACAAAGCATTGTGGTGGGGGACTGATCCTGCATCAAGGGTGCCAAGTAAACTGACCCAGCTCCCTTTGTGCCTATGAAATGAAAGCTGATCTATTCCATCTGCTGGTGACACGTTAGCTCATTTTAAAAGGCAAACACCTTTGTGGTTCAAGTACAGTAAGCCTGCAAACTTACATGGTGGTTACATTCTGGGAAGAGCACCTAAAGCCAAAGTCACGTATAGTGAAAACACATTGGGTTCAATGGTGGGTGGGATTGCAAAAGTTGTTTTTCCCCCTTTCCGATTTTTTTTTATTTTTAGCTATGCATGTAAAGCTGAATGTGCACGAGTTAAGTGTGTGTAAGTTGCAGGCTCACTGTATTCTGCTCACCAGGCAGGCGTAGGACGACAGGCACAGAGGTATGCTCAAACGTGGAAGCCAATACATGTCAAGAGGAAGACCATGGCAGCTGGCAAAAGGTCATTGTCACGAAAGCCAGCACACATGTGGCACTCGGCGTCAATGCATCTTGCCTGTAACACATCCCTATGACTGAGGTGTGGGCAACCTGATCACTCTTGGCCAAGCCTGGGAAAGGCTACCTGTAAGAGGGGATGCAGAGACCTATGCAGGTACTACAAAGCCAGCCTTAATTGACCGCAGCTCTTTGCCACTGTGAAGGAAACTGTTTTAGAAAAATCCATCTGGGCCAACTGTTGTGACGTACTTGACAAAGTGAATGTAAGCCATGTTAGCTTCCAAACTGATATATAAATATAGTACACAGCTATATTCGTGTCACATAATACATTGTCAATTTGCAGACGTGATCAAGAAGTTGGCAGGTTTATCTGGGGGGTTATGAATGGTTGGCTTTAATGTCACACCACTGATTAATACAAAATTATTTTCCAAAAACAGTATTGTTGTTGACATTTCTATCCTCCCTTTCCTCCAAGGAATTCAAAGTGGCATGCATAATTCTCCTCCCCATTTATGGCTGAGCAAGGATTTACACTGTGTGACCTTTTCAAGTGAACAACTTATGTACATTTATTTAAAGAGATGCTAAAGGATTTCAAATTACACTGTGGACATGCACATGCCTTGTTCTGTCTCTATTGTCTATATGCATCCATTTTATATTTACATTTGCCATCTATTTCTACTGGGACCTCACCAACACCTTTAGGAGCATTTTCTTGAAACTGAGAATATTAGCTTTTAAGGAAACAGTGCAAATATTAAAACCCATTTATTTAAAGCTGGAGTACATGTGAGGAGATATTTATTTATTTATTTTTTTCTTTTTCTTTTGCATAAGCACTGAATTGGTTGCAGAAAATTGGTTGCATTTAAACCAAAGTGCTTGATTTGGTCAAAGAATCCAGCTCACCTGTTCCACTAAAAGCAATCCATGACAAAGTGTCTGATTTTACTGCCTCTGCCTAAGTTGCTCAGGAAATGCCATTTCAGATTCCAATCACGCTCCAGGAAGTCCACCTTGCTCACTAAGCCTGGTAGCTTTTTTGGTGTGAAAGTTAATCATTGATATTTTCTAAAGACTTTCAACCTAACCATTCCAGGTTAGTCAACCTCAGGCCTTTATAGGCCTTTCTCTGGCACTTCCAGTTCTCAGGAGCCAGCACAGCAAAGGCTTCGGGCAGGGAATTCGGCAGCTAAGACAGGTACCATTAGATAGTTCTGCACCATTTAACAGCCTTAAGTGGAATAGTTGTTGGAGGAAAAGCTCTTTATATCTCACATACATCTCTGGGTAAAAAGCAGCGCTAGCTGGCAGGCACTGTGCTAAAAAAACAAAACAAAAAAAAACAGGAAAGGAAGGCAGAAACAAATGCACCACAGTTCACAGCTGCCTCAACTCAGCTGAGAATGGACTGCAAAATGTTCTGTTTCCTCTTGGTTTGGGTCAGCCATGTTTACCTAGTGAGGTGAAGCTCACTCCAGGGCAGTTATGAAGACAGAACAAATCAATTTCAATGGACAAGAGCTTCAATTGTATTCTGGGTTTGGAGGTGGCGATGCGCTGGATGTGGGCCAATAAATTGAGGCTGGATTCAGGTAAGACAGAGGTGTTATGTTTGCAAGGAAATGGCTTGCTCCGTACATGGTTGCTGCCCACAAGGAGGAGCAGGTGCATAGCCTGCAAGAACTCCTCAATCCATCATTTGTTGCTGGAGGCTTGGGTGGCCTTGTTGGACAGGAGAGTCTATTTCTAGCTCCAGCTGATACACCAGCTCCAGCTCTTTCTGCACAGGAATAACTTGGTCACTGGATTCCATGCTCTGGTGACCTCCACATTAGACTATTACAATGCATTTTATGTGGGACTGCCCTTGAAGTTGGTCTGCAGCAGAACATTGGTGCTAGCTAAGGCAGCTCTCGGAATTAGCATAACCCTTTTCCTGAAGCAGCTACACCGGTTGCTTATTCATGTTGAAACTTGATTCAAGAAGCATGAGACTTGCTAAGATTTTTCTAGTAGCTTCAGAGTCAGTAATTATAAAACAAAGCCTGATGCACTGTGGAAAAGAGTAAAGAGTGTCAGTCCTTAATACCACTATGAGGTGCTGAAATGCAAAACAGCCCACATTGAGAAGAGGACAACTTCTAAGCAGTTGTTGCACCCTTTGTTCAAAAAGAAGCGTTTGCTACAAAGCAGGACTTGGAACATAAGCCAGTAAAAATAAACACACCAGAAGAGAAACTGAGGAAAGGATCCTGCACATGGGTCTCCAACCACAATGAAGGAAGGCTTATGGAATTTGCAGCTGTGTGCATTTTGGCAAATATGCCTTGTCCATTGGAAACACTGTGGGTCAACACACCTTGCAAGGGATTTCATACAGAATAGCAGTGTTCTGTCTTTCTGTACATTCAAAATGTAAGGTAACGTATTTTAACCTGTAGAATTCCAAAAGATCTGCCCAACTCAAGCTTTGTCATTGTCATTCCATATAATGTTTATGATGCAGAACAGAAGGGAAAGGGCTATTAAAATAAAACTGATATTTCACCCAAGTAGCTCTAAAAACAAACTGATTAGCAATCACAGCACTATGCTACTACCAATGCTAGAGAACACCAAACTCTCATATCTAAAGCCAGTATTACAATGTTACCAACACTGTATGTATACCATTTACCATGATTGGAACAATAGTCAACTAATCAGAGGCAGCCAAACTGACTTGTTCTGCACAGGGGGTGGCTACTTTAATCTCTGAAGCTTTATATCAGCAGAAGGGAGGGAGGTGGAAGTTGATGTTATGAAACTAAAAGCAAAAGCTATCAGAACACACTGGAAAGGCAGGGGGCATGACAGAAGGCGTTTTGAGGGATCAGCTTAGAACCAACCTTTTTTCACTGGATGGTACAAATCCGGCTGAGAATCTATAGCAGGCGGGAAAACACAAGAACAAAAACAAAAAAATAGCAGAGAAAGGAGATTAAGAGGAGAGAAAAGAAAAAGGCTTGTGTACGATTTCTAACTCAGATCCTGGGCAACATTTAGATTAGCGATTAATAGCAAGTTCTAGCTTCTTTTGTTTTATTCCAACTTTTGAACACCAGAAAGCAAGCAACAGGTGCAATGAAACTGAGCTTGGGCTAAGGGCCCTATGAAAGAAAATGGGAATTAATTCACAGCCAAGCTTAAAAATAAAGTAAGCATCCGGGGAAGAAAGCAAAGCTAGATCATTATTGCATTGTCATGTGCTCAAATTAAAATCAGAATACTAAACTTAAAAAGGAATATAGAATTGGAGGCGCCTCAACATGACAACGTCTGACACAATTAGAAACCAGTTGCCTACTTGCTCTTTTGTCAGGAGCTACTTTTAAAGCAGCTCTGGCAAGAAAAATATCCAGAATAAAAGTGAGGACAAGTATGTTAACCTGGGTAGCTGATCTATGGCGTCAGCTCAGGGCAGATACAGCAGCACTTTCACAATTCTACATACCTTCATTTTCCAGTGAGGCTGGGAAAGTTTTCACCTGGAATGGACGGAAGGGCTTGCCATCAAAAAGGGGAGATTCTTCACTCTCTTCGGAGCTCACATGGACGTCCACTGGAGATTCGGAGATGGAAGATGTAAACTGGTCCATGTCAGCCCGCTGCTCTTGAAGGAGCTCGTCTGTAAGCAGTAGTGCTCAGTTAGTTAGAAAGTGTTGTCCTATGAAGATGTTTCCAAGAAACTCAACACAACCTCTTGGATTCGAGTCAGGATTATTTTTATTCGTCTATGGAGGAAATAATTTGCTAGATACTCGGGTTGGAACTTTTCACAAGTATATACTTGGTTTGTACTGCTATTTTGTTGTTGTTGCTGATCTCAGGTGCCAAAATGCTTTGGTGCTTTTGGCGAACTAGCTTAGGGATCGTAAAAAGAGGTCAAAGGTACTAACCAATCTCACTTTGGATTTCTTCTGCCACATAAGGTACCTTGTAGAGCAGGGACAGACTTTGATTCATTCTCTCTTCAATCACATGGAGATGCGTCATCACCTACCAAGAGAGAGGGCAGAGTTCACAAAGAGTATCAATTCTATTTTTACTTAAACAAGTAAGTCTGCTCTAGAGATAAAGAGTTTTAGAACCCTCACATTTGCTGCCACTGGCTACTAGCCATGATGGCTATATTCCACCTCCACTGTCAGAGGCAGCTTCTGGGATTCACAAGCGGGGAGAGTGCTCTTGCACTCAAATCCTGCATTTGGGCTCTCCAGAAGTATCTGGTTTACTGCATTCTGCATGGTAGATGTTTTAGTTTACTGTATTCTGCTGGACTAGGTAGGCCTTTGTCCTGATCCAGGAGGGCTGTTCTTAATCTTTACACAGAAAGATACAATCTAAGCTAGTGTTCATCACCACATTCTGTGACTGAGGAACCCATAAGATAACTATGCGCTGTGCGAAGCAATGCTATCACCTGTAGGTCACCTTAACTGGGCAACCCAGGCATTGGGTTTCACCCTAATATAGGATGTAAGAAAACTTTTGTTGTTGCTGCTAAAGCAATGGTGAGGAAAAGGAAAAGGGGAACAATAGCAGGTTCTCCACAGTGAGAAAAGACCCAGTTTCCCTGTAATTTAAGCCATAACCCTGAGAACCTCAGAAGTTTGTCCAGTTGGGTGCCTGGCATAGGAAGACTCCTTCCAGACCCAGCAATAATTTCTATTATGTAGCAGAAGAAAAAGCTGCATGAATCTATGTATAGCTCTATATAGATCTGAAGGGTCATGCTTATGCTTCCAGTACAACTAGCATAAAATAATACTCCCCCATAGTACATTACCCTAAGCAACAGCTTTCTCAGGAGAGGTTACGTAGCTTAACAGCACTTTGTTCAAAGCAGAGGCAGTAACATTCTCTTACAATGCTGGCCTTTGTTCAGGGAGGCTTGCCTGGACAAAATGGCCGGGTGTGGTTTCATATCTGCAACCCAGGTTCCTGTTTCTGTACACAGGCACAACCTTTCCCACTGGCTTCTTGAATTTATGGCTACCATGTATTTGACCTGCAGAGGGTGCTGCACATTAATGGATTCTACGGAGCTGATATGGAATGCATTAATATGGATAACCAAGCTGAAACACTAATGAACTGCTTCTTATGGTCTGAAGTGTATCTGACTTTTAAAGAGAAGAAGGAAAGCAATTTAATTTTCCACGTGGCAGTCTGTCAATCTCCTGGATCGATCGAGGAGCTTGATGTGAATCCAAAATGTAAGGAATCGAAAGGGATCACCCATGTCCCTTGCATGTCAATTGGTCAACGACACAACCTGCCCATCGTGGCCTAAGCCTCCAGTTCACAAGCAGGGACACTGCTCAATCAAGTGAGCTGACTGTGTGAAGACAGGACTCCATCCCCTGGGAAGACAAGTTTGCATGACACACTACTTGGATACGAGTAGGATGGGCCAAAACTAAAGAATAGGGAAACATTTGTCAGTCAAATGACTAAAGGGAAAACATTCAGAAAACTCCCCAGCACTGGAGAGTACAAATGTGAATACACTTAGATCTGCAGCATGGATTTCAGCATTACCAAACTAAGCAATCTAAGCAAATGGGAAAGCATTTTCCACTGCTGCTGGGTGAAATTGGGTTCATGCTCCAGTCCTGCTTCTCAAGCAGACAATGTAAGTTACTGAATTCAACGCAAAATAACCACTTATCACCTTTGGCAGTTCTTTTCTTTGAAAGAACATCACTTGGCAGAGCTCAGAAGCAGCGCTGTCTAGCAGGAAGGCACCCATCTTACAGAAAACTGGCTTCCAGCTCTGCTAGTGACCTTGTTTGACCTTGGCAAGGCCTTCTAATGCCTTCCCTTTTTTCCTTCTCACCCTCTCAGTCACAAAGACGACAATCCTGGCTATGAAACAAAAATTAAAACAGGAACGCAAAATTACTCAGAGAGGTAGCTTGGTGGAAAATGCATGAGAGAGTTGTTACAATTTCCTTTCCCCATATTGAAAAGAATGAGGAAAATTTGCTCCTCAAAAACGAAGCCTTGGGTAAGTGAGCAAATGCTTCTATGCTTTGCCTCAAGACTCAAGCTATACTTCTACTAAGAAGGGGAGAAGGTTTTGGCAAGTAGTAAAAGCAAAAGATGCATGAGAAATCCAAGAAAGTGGTTACAGTCAACAAGCCAGCAGGACAAGTGCAGAGTCAGTATGGGCACAACAAAATAAATGATGCATCAGGGATGGATGGGTGCTGTCAGTTCAAGAAGTGGCCATGTTTCATATATGTTCCAGCTGGCACCCAAAAGTAACCCCCGCCCCCAGCTGTGTAACTCTGGTTAATGTAAATAGGCACTATTTTTGTTTAACAGGCACATCCCATGTTAATACCAAAAATGCACAGAAGGACTATGGTTCATTGTGATGTCCAAACCAGCTCAAAGTCTGCACATTTAGGCAGAAGAGATAAACTGCAACACCCAGCTAGGAGTGGGTCTTAAAACGTGGGACAAAATGTTTCCCAGAGATTATTCTGTACCTGCGATTTCATCTGCGCTGCCTTTTCTGGATCAACAGCCAAAACGTGCTGGTAATGGCGGATCGTGTGCAGGCGGTCTTTGTTCTCTGCCCGGACGTAACGCTTCAGGGCTTGCAGGATACGGTGAGGCTGTAGGAAGTTAAACCAAACTGGTGAGCCAATAGAGAATGGAAGACTGTCCAGTGATTTCAACTGTGCCCCTTAAGGTCCAAAAATATTGTGATATAGCAAGCACAAGGCACATGAGCTGCTGCAGCAGCAGCACAGGCAAGAAGCTGGAGCTAGGCCAGGCAAAACATATCTGGACAGGATTCAGATTTACAGGAAAATTCAGCAGCCATTATACTAATGCTATACACCCAGAATGCCTACCTTACAGCTGCTCAATCAATTATTGCCTCTTTTCCCACCCACCCACCCTTTTCTTCCACTAGCTGTCAATGTTTGCACTTCTTCCAGACACTCCTGGCCTTCCCTTTAATGCATGTACTTGAAACATCCCAAGGGGAATGTACCCGCGGAGAATCGGTCTGCAGAGCAACTAGGTAATTTTCCAGGGCAATGCGACGGCGGTCATCCAGCATGGCTTCCACACGAGCGAGATGAGTCTCCACCAGCTGCTGCTTCTCACTGGCTGCTTCCTTCTCTAGAGATTTAGCCATTGCCTGGAATCGCTGCAGAAGGAAAATGGTGCAGTTAACAGGTGGCAAAGAGATTATTTACTGCTATTCTGATTAGCTACTTTCAGATGCATTTAGTCAGACAGCACCTGAAAGACGCCTGGGAGACAGATCTATATCATGGTAGGTGTATTCTGCAGGTGGAGTAGCAGTCTTTGCAACTTAGTCCAAAACTGGTTTGGAACAGAAAATGCAAAAAACCTTGCAGTCAGTGGATAATCTAACACTGCAGTCACTCTCAGGATACAGAGTTGAATAACTATTTTAGTACTGGTGACCATTTGCCTATTCAGTAACAGCAAACAGGTTGAGGGCTTGCCAAAAGCCTGCCAATGGCTCAATTCAAATGTAGTCCAAGGCCAAACCATGGCTTAGTGCGAATGTACAGCCTCTCAGAGAGGAGGTGGTGGTCACAACATTGGAGAAGCAGAACAGCCACTTTCTCCTCTCCAGGAACCCATGCATTTCTGCTAAGGCGCTGTTTTCAAGACCCTGTCTCTACCAGCTAGTAAGGAGAAGAAAGATGGGGTAGGCCAGAAAATCCATCCGAGTATCACTACTTGGCAGCCCTGCTGACCGTGAGGTCCATATTTTGTTAAATTGGAAATATTAATTTATGTTGCTGTAAGTTTGTTTGTTTGCCTTATAACTGAATTGTTTAGTTGCTTATTTGTCCTGTTTATATGATTTTGTCATTTTTGTATATTCTTCCTCTCTGTTTATTTTTATTAATGTGTTCTCTGCTCTGGGATTGAAAACATTCAATGAAGAGTGGGCCATAAATACTGTAAATAAATAATGTCTGAACTGAGGGTCCAGCACCTTAACTACTTCCTAAGGTTCCAAACCTCAACCTTACAATCCTCCAGGATGAAGTGATTGAGCAGTTTAATTTTAGAAGAATAGGAGGCTGGTGGTTTTTTGCTACTAGCTTGTATGAAACTGCATTTTTTTGCTACTAGCTTGTATGAAACTTTGCATTTTTATAAGGCTAAATTAGAAAAAATGGCATTTTGTGATTTTCTGCCATGAAGAGAAAACAAATTTGCTTATGCCACTGCAAACCAATTTAAAGGCAATAAAGGCAAACACAATTTTAAAAAGATAATAGAAGAAAATCAATTTGGAATTGTTCATTTGCAAACCACTCTGTTTTCTACATGTTTCTCGGCTGGTATGAACCAACTTCTAGGACACAACCAACGAAAAGCCACAGCAGATTTTATTCTCAAAACTATTTTACCAGGAAGGTGGTTTCCTCATCCTCATGGGTTTTCACCAGTTTTGAACAAATAAGATCTGTGGGTTCTTCAAATGGGCCACATCTGAGCACTCTCAGCTGAAGCAAACATGGCTGGTTTTCTACTGTTCTATTTTCACAAGCCACCAACATGCTCAGTGGTTGATTTCATCTTCTCCTACCAGCCAGAAGAGCAGTGGGTACTAAGGAGCACTGAATCCAAGAATGGAAAAATAACCCCATGAATGAGAAACAAGACATCCCTAGGTCAACAGCTGGATGGCAAAAACAGTTTAAGTTAGTGGTCTTATTCTGACTGTTGGGAAACTGTAAAAGCCACCCATCCATTCATGCTCTGGGAGAGAACAACCCACTTCACTCTGATAGTTTACCTGCATGAGAGTTTGCCTCTCGGCCTTTGGGAGATTCTTAGCCTGGCGCTCTGCTTCTTCCCATTCCTTCTTCACCTAAACAGGTCAGAAAGAGACACAAATCTGGTCCGTGAGGACAAGTGTGACTGATCCACATGTAACACACTAAGTTCATTTAGGTTATTTAATACACCACTAAATACAATTTCCACAGCTGCTTCCAATATAAACATATTTTTTAAAAACAAAACAAAAACAAAAATACCAAAAACTATTTGTTAAAGGTTTAACAGAAAGCTGCAGAGAAAAATTCCTGCTGTGGAAAGACAATTCTAATTTAGGCTCTCAAGGGAGCAATTTGGCTTGGAGGGTTTCTTGCTTTTACTATCCAAAAAGATAACTTAAAAAAAAAATACTTGGCCCAACTAAAAAGCAAAAGCCTGAAGTCGATGGCTTGGAGACAGCTGGCTAGGCACAATGAGGTTGCAGAGTAGGGCAGCCATGCTAGAGTTTAAGAGGAGGCTCACCCGATCCATGCGGTTGTGATGTCGAACCTCTAGCTGTTCTTTTGCTTTCTGGAAACGGGCATGCTCATTGTCGTCGGCTGGTGTTTCAAAGTAGACATCCACATCATCAGTAGGCACAGGAGTAGGAGGAACTGGGGAGATGACAGAAGACAGGACCCGTTGTGTCAATGGCCCTGGATCAGTCAGCTGCTGCTGTACCTAAGGGTGCCAGGGCAGGGGAACATGCTGCCAGTGGTTCCCCTCTCAGAAACAGGCTTTAACAATCCCTTCCAGAACTCCTTTCTCGCTTCTATCAATTGCCAATTTTCTACAGCACCTCACACGGTATTACGGGAAGACAAGTAACATACTGGGATATCTCTAAAACCACCCCATTCTCCAACAGTGGGCAAGTATTATGCAGGATCAGTAACCAAACCGTTGCTTAGAATGCTGCTTTTAATCTCGCAAGAGGTTTATGCAAGGCTGCATACATTTGTTGCTCAGTGAAACTACCCACAGATCGTTAGTGCAGAAATGTCCAGATTTTTCAGATATTCAGTCCCCAAGGAGAGATTTACACACTTCAAACTTCATTTACCCCCAATAGCTTTATCAGGTGATATGGCATCTCTCTCTCTCTCTCACACACACACACACACACACACACACAGAGAGAGAGAGAGAGAGAGGGGGGGAGAGAGAGAGAGCTACGAAGCACAAAGAGGCACAGTAAAAACATTGCCTTTGCAGCAAATTGGACAGCTTTCCAAAGTGGAAAGGATGAGACTAGACCATATTTGTGCCATTAGGACTTTCCTAACAGTTGTTCATGCTACAGTATTATCTTTAAGTGACAGGTTATTGTTTATGCCTTTTCCAGCTTATCGCTGGGACATGGTCTGCATCCTGACCCATTTTGAAGCAAAGAGCAATTAGTGTTAGGAATCATCAAACCACCTAGGACCAGGATATCTGAAGGACTGCTGTCTCTCATATAAACCTGCTTCTGTGCAGAGATCAATAGTCCTGCTCCTGGTACCCATGCTATCTGAACCAATACTGTCACCGGGGACAGGACTTTTTCCTGTTGTCGCAACCAATGCTTGCATTCCAGAGTTTGAATTCCGATATCCCCACCCCACCCCAAGATGATGACAAAGAATTATATCTACTTGGGCTTCTATCTTCTTCCTCCCGAAGCATTTTAAGCTATTCTCAAAATATTGTTCTTGTTCAATTATTTGATTAGCTGCCTTGCATACATTTGGTAAAAAGACGGGGTACTAATGTTTTAAGGAAATAAAAATATACTTTAAGTAAATGAGAGCCATCACTCAATATCTATGCAAGATTGAGTTCATCACAAATTCTGATCACCTGGATCAATCCATTTTGAAGTCAATAAATCTCATATCAAATTGAACTGCTTTCAGGCAGAAAGATTTTGTTCACAGAACTGCACATTTCATCCAATACCTTGTATAAAGCCCTGAGCGGGAGTCGCAACACAGCACTTGAACCCACAACATTTTTAGTTCAACATGGTAAGCATTAAGTGAAACAGTGGCAAGACAGCACACATTGCACATGTAAAAAGGCATTCTCTCTCTCTCTGCAGATGGAAGCCAAGACTGGATATGTCGCATACTGTTTAGTGTTTCTGAATCAGGCTTTGATATGGAGGCTCCAATTTCCACCCCCAAATCCTTCTCGGATGGGATGAACTTTTGTCCAAAAAGCTCCTGACATCCGCATCTTTTGTTCCACCACTTCAATCAGATCAACCTAATCAAAAGCATTTGCATGGAACCCATTTTGTAAACAGGATTACTGCTGTATAGACAGACTGCCAAGCCCTAGAAAGCACAAAAAAGCCTTTCAAAAGGCCTCTGCAACAGCCAAAAAGGAAAGTGCTGGAATTTAACAATAACTTAATTTTGGGGGGGGATATTTTATTGTGAGAGCAGGCAAAAGCCTCAAGCTATCAAATAGAGTAATCAAGCTGTAGCTCATATTTCTAATGGTGCAGAAAATGAAGCAGTTATCTTCCATTCAAAAAAAGGGTGGGGGGAGAGGGAGAGTACCAGTGTGTATCTCATACCAGTAGCTACATATGGAGGAAGTGTTTGAAAGGATGCAGGATTCCATGGGAAGGGAGTAAGAAAGGAGGTCAGCTGAGGTGAACAAGGGCAGCAGTTTTAAGAAACAAAAATGTTCAATTCCAACTGAAAAAAGTAGAAAGGGATCAATTGAGCCTTCATTGACCTTGCAAAGGTGAGATGCGTTTAGAGAAGCAGACCAGTGTGTGAAGGGGAAGCCAGTCTTCCCAAGCTGCAGAAACATAAGCTGGACCTAAAACCTAAAGCAGCACAGACAATAAAGACTACTGCAGGACAGACAGTGTTTCAGCAGACACCAGGATTCATAGAACAAGGCTACACACAGCTCTTTCCTTGACCTGGTCAAGGATGAGAAGACAGACAGGACAACAGCTTGCTGCAAGAGGGCAGGTGGGAGGCAGGACTTACTCATCTTTTTACACACAGCCATACAATAGTCCTCTGACTCAAAATTGTTCCTGTTTCCTCCGCAGCCTCCATATATAAAGCGAATGCACTTTTTCTTGTACATGTCGAAGTACCAACGAGGCATCACAGACCGGCAGGGACCTGTCATCGCCTCCTGGGAGCAGACAGCTGTGTGGGAGATGGTTAAAGCATCAGCTGGTGACAAGCACAGCTTAGCTAAGCTATTACAACAGCAGCGATGGCTCTAGGTTAGTCTTAGCTGAAGAACTGACATTTGCCTGGGGTGCTACAGATCCATTATCCACAAGCTTCCAGTTTTCCCATCACTGAAAAGAAAAATCTGTTTACCAGGGCCAAAAGTAGGCCCAATGATGATAATGCTATCCCGCTCAACTTCATCTGTGCCACTTCCACAAAGGGGAAGTAGGAAGAAGAAAATATTTTGCAGCACAGAAACATCTAGGCCACATTGCACCATGCAAACAACTGTCCCAAAGCTTCCATTCAGTTCAAGCAAAAGACGTTCTGTGGTTAGCAACCAGGTTAGGCAGGTTATGTGGCAAAATGTTTTATTCTTCCTGCTTCCCAGAAAGGACAATATCGGTGGACGAGGGATTTCCTTTGCTGCCTCAGTTCCTTCAGCTCAGCCCTTCCCTTTCTCAACCACAGCTAATGCTTTGTGTCTGCCACCTTTCAGCACCTTTCTTTGGAAACTAGGTAAATTGTGCAAGTTGGAAAACTGACTGTCTGAAGAATCCACAAATACTGCTTTGAGCATATGAAATGGTCATCTACTGTGGAAAGTAAACCCATAACCTCATTCAGGGGTGGGTGGGTGGGTGGGTGTGGGTGTGGGTGTGTGTGTGTGTGTGGGTGTGCGGGTGTCCCCTAAATGGCCAGGCCACACTGGTTAAAAGCCTAGAACATTGTAAGAAAAAGACCTTCAATATGGTAGCAGATTTGGTAGCCTCAACCACTCCCACCACCAGGGGATCAAGGGACCTCAGAAGAGTGAAATCATTCATGTCTTATTGGGTTAGAAGTTCCTAAAAGCTGAGGCTCTGCCCTAGTTCTCACTTATGGCGATAAACCTGGAACGAACATGGTAAATTTAGGAGGGGAATGTGAATTCTTTCAAGCATTGAAATACATCCACATAATATGGATGGCATTCTGTACTCCAACATATTTGAATGGAAGCTTAGAAACAATTTGACTATTAATGCTACGCACGTGGAAGAAAGTTACTTTTGAATTTAAAGCCTACTTGCTGATAAATGTTATAAATTTAAGACAATTTGCTCTTCTACATAGCAAAAGTGTATTTGTCATAAAGTGTATTTTGTCATCTGAGGAACAATTACAGAAGGCAGAAGCAAGGAGGCTAAAGCATTTCATCATTCCTCAAGAGCATTTCCTACTGCATGGCTTCCTCTTGGCTATATATTTGCACCATGTTGAGAAGTCAAAAATTTGGAACTGACATATATCAGTCACAAAAACTGGTGCACCTTAATCCCATTTGCTTCACATTAGAGAGGCTTTAGGAGACACTGACTAACTAACAGCTGTTTGAGTCAGAAAAATTACGTGTGTGCGTGTGTGTTTGTTTTCCCCAAACCCTGCCCCCCCAACCACCAAAAAAAGTCTGACTACTCAATTGTAGTTTTCAGGTTGTTGTTCTTTGAGGAAGAGTGCTTACTTGGTGCAATTTGAAATCTTGAAGGTATCATACTGAAGGGGGAAAGCGTAACCAGCTAGGAAAGCATGCAGATCCCAGGTGGCCCTTCCACACATACTAAGCTTTACTTCCAGCAAGTGAAATCACAGTATTCTGGAAGCTTACCAAAGAGTTTGTACCTGCAAGGTTACAGGAGTTGCTGGCATCTGTTTGACAATCTGAATTTATCTACATTTTATGCCGATACCGTTAACTGGCCTGCTGTAAATGTCACTATAAGAGCATGTAGCCAAAAGCAGAACTGCTTATACTAAGCTTGCCCCACTTTGGGATAGATGGGCTGACTGATGGATAAACTGTAGCATACATAGAAATGTATAAATGACAAACCATTTGATCATTTTTGATAGTATTCTTCCTAGTTTTTCTATGAAGGAGAAAATCTGAATAACTTTTCACCCAAGTAACCCATATTTTAAAAACAAGAATGTTTTGATTTGCAATGTTTTCCAAAATTAGATAGCAGAAAGCTATTTCAAAGTTGTCCCAAGAGTGAGTGCCAGAGGTAAGAGTTGCCAGTGATACACTTGGCAAGTAGGCACTGTATGTCCCACAATTTGGGGGAAGGAAGAGAATAGTCTCTAATGAATGGCATACAAGCTCTTCTCCACTGACCTATTTGGCAATTAAAACATCCAAATAGGAAAAAGGCTACTAGACTAGAAGTGGAACATTCAACATATGGATTGGCAAGATCAATTTGACAGCTACTGGAATAAAGAAGAGCTGAGTGAAGCTGTAATGTGGCTGTTTACCTTTCACATCACTCATTATTTCCTTCTCAGCAAGCGATTTCTCATTGCTTGGTTCTGTCGGAGGCTCTTCATTGTAATCTTTATAGCCATCATAATAGTAATCCCGATCTACCACCACTTCTTCCTCATCTTCTTCCTGTTCCTCCTCTTCGTCATCCATTGTTGCTATTGCCGCTGTGAACTCTTCTGTATTTGCCTCAGTGGGGAACTCACTAAAAAAGATACATACAATTAGAATGCAAACCAACTGCTGTTTGCAGGCATGAATGTGCAGAGTGATTTGGCTTTGGGTCTCCTCACCTCAACTTTAAAAGAATTGGAAGAAAAGAATGGATGCACAACCAACTTCAATTCTGGAAACTACCCTATTGCATCTACACAAGCTATTGTAGAAGTGGCTCCAAGATGGGCTCTTAAGTTTTATTATATGGATCTATTTCCAAAGACTCACAGCACCTCTGTAGTCCATGACCTTCAACCTGCCCACCCACACTTACGAGACCCAGGAGGAGGCAGGGGGAGAAGCAAAGAGGAGCACAGAATTTCAAAACATTGAGCTCAACAAAAATAAAACCCATTTTTTGAACCAGGCAAGACACCCCATGCAGCAATGCTAATGATCTATGGATCGTAAGAAGCTAGCAGGATCCCAGCCCATGTTTATGCTCTTAAGGTGGCCCTAACGTCTCCCAATGATCCTTACAAAGCTTTTCTCTGCCCAACCAATGGGAAGAAAACATTGCAATAAAATGCGAAATGAGCTTGTAACGATTACCTTTTGTAACTGTCATAGTCTTCGTCCTCCTCCTCCTCTTCCTCCTCCTCCTCTTCTTCCTCTTCCTTGGAAAGAGCTTCATCAACAATTTTGGCCTGAGGGCAGCACACATACTCTGTGCCATGGAACTGGTCTACTCCGCAAGGAAGCAGCATGCCATAGCTGTGCAGGATCATCCCCTCAGTCAAACAGGCCTGGAGTAAGTATTAAAAGCAATGGGTTAGAACAGAATCTCTTGACTGTTTTAATGCGTGAACCTCTTACATCACCCACACAATTAAAGGATGACATACAGATTTGTATAGCATTGCATCTTAGCCTAGGTTGCAAAGGGTCACTAGAATCATCTGCCATAAAATTGCTGATTGTTTAGAAGTGGTACTCAGGATAGGGCAGTGAATGTCAACAGACGACGAAGGTCCATGCCTGGAAGCTGAAACTGCACATAACATCTAAGAAGTAAGATACCAACTTGTTGCTGACTCAGTTAGACCTTCCAGCAGGGGTTGGGGCTTTATAACTTCAATAGCCTTGGTGCAAAGTTACATATCAATGCAATGCACAATTTAGCTTGAAACCAAAGTTGTGCAATTCAAAGTAATTTTATGAAGAGCACATACTACTTCTGCACTTTAAACCAAGGAAGTGAAAGGGTGAATATTCCTTATCATTCTAGGAATCACACTTTAGAAGCATGTTAAGATGATGCTCAAATAAAAATCTGAAAATAGATCTGCCTTCCAAAAACCTGGACCAAAAACTCCAGTGTTCCAAAATAAGAACCCTGAAGCCCCAATTAGGCTACTATGTCCTAGTAGCAAGGGAGTCAAATGTCAACAGAACTCCACAGTTATAACAAACAAAGCTTGCATGGAACTGGCACAAACTGGAGTTCTCAAACTGCTAACTTAGTGAAATCATGACTCTGTGGAAAACAGGTTGTTGTTTTTGCTTAGTAAATCAGGCTGAACAATGATTTACACCCAGGATCTCAATTGCTTCATTTTGGTGGCTCAGTATTAGTCAAAAACTTTGTAACTTGAAGATATTCTTCAAATTCGTTGCAAGCTGACCTCCCCTCTATTGCTCCTTGAAAGAAGAAAGGCATTTCTAATTCTGTATTTCAAGCTTTCTCTCAAATACCACTTTATGGGATCTTATGGGAGAAGGCCAGGGCATTCCTTCTCTTGCAGCCAAGTTACCTCTTTTGATATAGTGTGCCAGTACTGGTGGCTTTTACACACATCCATCCGCTCCCTGTGGAAGAACCGGCACTTTTCTGGAACCAAGAGGACATCACTGACAAACTCCCCCACTGTGAAGAAGGAAAGAGCACAAGTCAACTGCAAAATCATATGTCACACACAAGTCCCAAGCTTTACTTTCTAGTTAGAGACATTTACTTGCATCTGATGAAGTAGACCATCAACCTTAAAAACTTATGCTACATTAAATTTGTTAGCTTATAAGGTACCACAGGATGCCTTGTTGATGCTACTAAAGTTTCATGTCTCAGAAAAAGATGCAACTGGATCCATAGGAATGATAAAATATCTCTATATTTAGAAGGCCTCTCAACTGCACGAATTTTCATTTTCATCTAGGAGCTCAGGATATTAAATTAATTCAAACAGGGAGAAGACATGGCAAAGGCTTGTAAAACATGCATTTGGAGATAATTGGAAACTTAAGATTGACATCAAAATCCAATATGTCTCCTCAGAAGTAAGTCACACAAATAGGACTTACCTGTGAGTAAGCCCAGTATGAATAGGTCTGCACCTTAAGCAACTTTTTCTTTGAACACCCAATACTATAAGAAAGTTAACCAGAAAGGAACAACCAGTACTCTGTTCTCCAATAAAGGCTACAGCCATTGGCCATGTTCACATGCCACACTAAGCCACAGTCCATCTTAAACAATGAACATTCTTCTGCTCCCATCCCCATCTCACAAGTGCTGCATGGGCAGTACAACCAAGCCATATTATGGCTCGTCATGTTGTACAAACACACACTGTTTTAAGCAGAAATAAGCCACAGTTTGTTCTTGATTGTGTCACATTCACAACTAAGCCAGGGGTCAGTAACCTTTTGGGGCATGCAGGTATATGTACAAACTGGAGAAACTGTTGCCAGGACCACACACACACTGCATACATACACAATGACTCTTCCCCCCTCCCCACTCAGTAATTAATTTGAAAATGATATTTTTGCTTTTGTTCCCAAGCCTAGGTTGGGGACAGGGACCTTCCTGGAGTGTGCAGCTGGCGAGGAAAGAGTTAACTTTCCTTTGCCAGCTTGCATACTCCAGCAAGCTTGTACTACCCCCAATAATTAGGCTTGAAAAAGTCTTGTTGGAGCCATTATGACTTAGCCTGACATGTGAACCACTTCACTGTCCAGTATCCAAGATGGACATGGCTATTATTATTACTAATGCTATTTTTTAACACTTGTTTAGTGCTAACAGCATGCCAAGTCCTACATGGAACATTATGTCCACTGGACACTACAAGACTACGCAAATAGTATTATGCCAACTTTGCACATGCAGGGAGATTCTGAGTTGAGGCCCATTCAAGTGTGCTGCTCAACCTCATGCATTTGGGAGTCCCAATGTTGCATGGGGCCTATATCATATGTGTCCCACTAATCTTCTAAGCTGGGTTTTAGATTATTCAAGAGAAAGGGAAGAGTGAAAAAGTTAGGAGAAGCTGAGACTAAATAAAGAAGCAGCAGAACAGATGAGGCAATAAGCAGTTGAATAAATGTTTGAATAAAAAGCAAATATAGCAGTCAGTTTATTTATATATGACATTTTTCACAAATTCACTGGGTTGCATCCAACAAAGTTCTATTTAGAGCAGGCCAATTAAAAATAAAAGGTCTAAGCCAGTCAAATTTATTGATTTCAGCTGGCCTACTCTGAGTAGGTCTAACATTGGACACATCTCAATGTTTTCTGTGGGTCACAGAAAACAGACAATTGAAACACAGTAGCATAAACACCATAATAAAAAGCATAATAGGTTGTAATTTAGCATTGACAAATGAATTAACAGTTTATTCAAATCATATAAAAAGTTCAAATAAGCATAAAGCATACTAATATGTCAATTAAGAGCATCTAATACTAATAATATCAACAGCATTATAACCATATCAAGCAATCTGTTGAGGAGTTCATTTAACAGCTCAAATCAAGTCACAAGATGAAAAGATACAGCAGTCTCCAACCAAGGCAGCTGAAGCATTATTTATTTATAAAGTTTTTATTTGTTGTTGTCGTTTAGTCGTGTCCGACTCTTTGTGACCCCATGGACCAGAGCACGCCAAGCACTCCTGTCTTCCACTGCCTCCCGCAGTTTGGTCAGACTCATGTTTGTAGCTTCGAGAACACTGTCCAACCATCTTGTCCTCTGTCGTCCCCTTCTCCTTGTGCCCTCAATCTTTCCCAGCATCAGGGTCTTTTCCAGGGAGTCTTCTCTTCTCATGAGGTGGCCAAAGTATTGGAGCCTCAGCTTCACGATCTGTCCTTCGAGTGAGCACTCAGGGCTAACTTCCTTAAGAATGGATGCGTTTGATCTTCTTGCAGTCCATGGGACTCTCAAGAGTCTCCTCCAGCACCATAATTCAAAAGCATCAATTCTTCGGCGATCAGCCTTCTTTATGGTCCAGCTCTCACTTCCATACATCACTACTGGGAAAACCATGGCTTTAACTATACGGACCTTTGTTGGCAAGGTGATGTGTCTGCTTTTTAAGATGCTGTCAAGGTTTGCCATCGCCTTTCTCCCAAGGAGCAGGCGTCTTTTAATTTCGTGACTGCTGTCACCATCTGCAGTGATCATGGAGCCCAAGAAAGTAAAATCTCTCACTGCCTCCATTTCTTCCCCTTCTATTTGCCAGGAGGTGATGGGCCCAGTGGCCATGATCTTCGTTTTTTTGATGTTGAGCTTCAGACCATATTTTGCGCTCTCCTCTTTCACCCTCATTAAAAGGTTCTTTAATTCCTCCTCACTTTCTGCCATCAAGGTTTTTATGCCATCAAAGTTTTTATACCACTTAATAAAAATCTAAGCAGTTCAAATAAAAAATACAGGTTTCAATAAAGTGTAATAAAAGCTAGATAAATTAGATAGATGCAAAATACAACTGTGTATCACAAATAAAACTGAGTAGGGTACAGTGGTGCCTCGCAAGACGAAATTAATTCGTTCCGCGAGTTTTGTCGTCTTGCGAAGCACGGTGTCGGGAAAGTTTTGGAAAAGCTTCAAAAATCACCAAAGTCTTTAAAAACCTCAAAAAAGGCTACCACACCGCGTTCTATGAGTTGCTCCTCGAAGTCAAGTCGCAACTGTATTAACGGTGTTAAGAAAAGGAAACAAACTAGCAAGACGTTTCCGTCTTGCGAAGCAAGCCCATAGCGAAAATCGTCTTGCGAAGCAGCTCAAAAAACAAAAAACCCTTTCATCTAGCGAGTTTTTTGTCTTGCGAGGCATTCGTCTTGTGAGGTACCACTGTATAAAACAAAAGCAAAATGAAAAACCAGCTTGGTCCAGGAGAGGCAATCCTGCTTAGGTATCCTGGTCCCAATTTGCTTTAAGGAAAACATTTGGCTCAGTAGCTAATAGGAAGCCAGTTGTTGAATTACAGGTGTTTGCTGGGCTACAGCTCCCATCATCCCTGGTCAGGGGTCATGCTGGCTGAGTCCAGCAACATCTGGAGGGCCACCAGGTGAGCCACACCTGCTATACATAAACAGCGATGTGGTGGCAGCTATTCCAGCAGCGGGAGAACTGGGAAGCAGAGCTCACTCCTCTCCTTCAAACTCTCACCTGGGGGCAGGCATTCCATCAGACTGCCTCAGTGGGAAAGACAGGGAACAGAAGACTCAGTCCATCAGCTTTTCTGGAGGCCAAGCTCCACCAGGTGCCTCCTGCCCCTGAACTTTGCCAACTGGTCCATATAGGAACAAATAGTTAGAAACTGGTGCCTGGGTTTGGGTTTTCCCTTGTATGTTGTGGGTTTTTGTTTTGGTTTGTTTTTTTAAGTGTAAGCCTATGAGTAGGTATTGTCTTGTTTTGATGGTATGTAAGATGTTCTTAGAGCCTTTTTGGCTGAAGAGTAGGATATAAAAATGTTCTAAAGAAATAAAAAGTAAAATAATTAAAAGTCCTGCTTTCGTTTGAGGTAAGACTCCCAACCCACACTGGGATTCCAGCTATACCCCCAAACAGCAAGGTGAACCACAAGGCTCTTTAGGCATGCTACCAGGGGTGTACCTAAGGGATGGCAAGGTTGGCCCCCACCAAGGGCCCAGGTTCAGGGGAGCACAAAAATTGCACCTCTCCACTCTGGCTCTTCTAGGAGCCTTGGCAGAGCTCCTTGCCAAGAGCATGAGGGGCACCAATACAGCTCCTTGCCAAGGGTGCAAAGGAGCCTAGGTACGCCTCTGAATGCTACCGTCCAGTGACAGAATGAGATCCGCCTCTCACTGTGATCGCCAGCCAAGAAACGGTGTCCTCACTACAACCTCTCCTCCCTCCCATGCCCATCTCTAGGCAGCAAAGCTCTGTGAGAGGCAAGATGGGAAAGGCCTCTGCCTGGGGTGATGCCCTCATTGCTAGTTCAGTTCTCATTAAAGCATACAGTGCTCAAGGTAGCACAACACACCTCATGCCCCAAAAGCAGACCTGAGGCCAACAAAATGAGCCCCCTGTGTTCCCCCACAAGCTTCTGTAGCTGCAGTTTCATCTCACAGAACTTCACTTCAGGTGGGGCAAAGGAAGTGGAATCAGGAGTCCCCTGATAACAAATACTATCTCCATCACCACCCCTGTATCAGAAGTGGTATGATATGGGCCAGAGAAGCTATGCCACATGTAGACGTGTGGCAGAAAGCACAGCAGTGAGGGGTGGGACTAAGGAGCAAGGGTGTGGGGATCAATGGGTATTTCCTGCCATAAGCAGAAGCAATTCTGAAACCAACAGTATTAGGCAAGTGTTCCTATATTATTCCACAGCACCAGAATGACGCAGCCTGCTTGGATGAGCTAGTGTGGTGATAGAAGGGAATTCACCCTTGGCTTCCTTGAAATGGAGAAGTGCAACAACAGAGCCCAGAGAAGGAAGCACGTCACCACCAAGTAGCCAAAAGGCAAGCACGGCCTAGGAAATATTTATTTATTATTGCATTTATAGCCCAACTTTTTTTCCTAAGGAGCTCAAGGTAGGGTACATGGCATCTTCATTTAATCACCACAACAACCCTGTGAAGTACGCTAGGCTGAGAAGCAGTGACTGGTCCAAGGTCACCAAGCTTCATGGTCAAGTGGGGATTCAAACCCTGGTGTCTCTCTCTAGCCCAGCAGACTAACCACGACATCACACTGGCTCTGTAGCAGCTGCTTGTGGCTCTCAGCCTCCTGGTCTTGAATCATTACACAGAAGTTCACAGTGCAACACGCAACACTGATTTCTTATTTATAATGTTCTCCTGAAGAAGAAAAAACCTGCAAGGAGGAGTCCTTTTTGAAGGAAAGGTGGGATATAAATGCAATAAAAAGAAACTTATAGATTCCAGTGCAGTGTTTCTCAAGCTTGGATCTCCAGCTGTTGTTGGATTACAACTTCCATCATCCCTGACAACTGGTCCTGCTAGGTAAGGATCATGGGAGTTGTAGTACAAGAGCTGGGGATCCAAGCTTGAGAAACACTGCACTAGCATTTCTCACCTGCTTCAATGTACAGTAAAGGCATCCATGCCAAAAAGCCCAACAATATTTGCCACTACAGTTTCATTTAACTTGCTGCCAACTCTAAACTGTTCCAAAGTCTGCTTTGACTTTGACTTGGTATCAGAGCCAAGAACAAGGGCTTGCATATCTACTCAGTGAGGACAATGAACCTGGAAAGAAATATGTCTCCAGTATATCATCTTATGGAAGCCAGAATGCAATGTGAATGAAGTTAATTTTAGAAAGGGCACACGTGAATTCCAACTCAGCTGTGCAACTAAAGAGGTTTCTCATTCCTGTTAAAATTATCTCCTATATTGAAGGATCAGTAGTTTTAAAGGAAGTAACCCAAGCTGCGGTATGCATGTCTATCCTTCAAGAACACTGCTAATAGAGCTAACACTTCACATTTAAGCCAGGCAGATGAGGCATTTCTAGTCCACACAGCAGCTTAACCAAACAGTCTACGTATAGTCTGCTTTTTCTTCTTCACCAAGCCTAGCTCTGCTCCCACTCCCATCAACCTATTGTCTCACATATTTACAGTTCAACAAGAGTGCCAACTGCGCCTCATTCTCCACTGCCATAGGAAAAGGGAAACCAGAGGAAAAGCAAAGCAAATTATCTACAAGGAGTATGAGGTTAAGTTTCCACCTGCAGCTGAAATTCTGTAAAAACAAGAAACAAAACTGAGGCTGAACAGAAAATAGAGAAGGAGCACAATCACAGTAGTGGCCTATTTTCATTGAAAACTAAACCTTTCACAGGCCAAGTTCATCTGTTTAGCACTCTAGAAGCACATCTTATGCTTACTGACTCTGCAGAGAATTTCAGAAATCTCCCACAATCTGAGCTCACTTTAATTTTTTTAAAAAGAAGGATATTGGTACATGTGACTGACTTAGGAAACTGGAAAAAGCCGCTCACAATATGGCCATGCAGAGACAGACTGTTTCCATGACATGCTTCAGTGGCAAACCATTGTGTTGCTTGCCAGGGGTCACCAGGTAATGAGTCCCCACTCTGCCAGTCTTGCTTTTAACTGCAGAAAAACTCTTCCCCCCTCGGACGCCATAGAAATGATGGCCACTACCTGCCTGCACTGGCACAGGGGAAAGCTCAAGCTAGGAGTTGATACAATGCATTGCCCCATTTTGTTCATTTTCACCTTTAAACCACATTTCACAACCTAGGGCATCGATCTGAATAGACTACAATCAGGTATGAGACATAAAAGATCAGCAAAACAAATACCGCACTATAAGGCGCAGTCTTAACACAGCCATTCATTCAGCTGGCAATTTGTGAGAGGTACTTCTCATGAGACTCCAGAGCAGGGGTAGGCAACGTAAGGCCTGTGGGCCGAATGTGGCCCAATCGTCTTCTCAATCCGGCTTGAGGACAGTCCGGAAATCAGCACATTTTTACATGAGTAGAATGTGTGCTTTTATTTAAAATGCATCTTCGGGTTATTTGTGGGGCCTGCCTGGTGTTTTTACATGAGTAGAATGTGTGCTTTTATTTAAAATGCATCTCTGGGTTATCTGTGGGGCATAGGAATTCGTTCATTTAAAAAAAAAAAATTCAAAATATAGTCCGGCCCACCACATGGCCCACGGCTGAAAAAGGTTGCTGACCCCCTGCTCCAGAACAACTGAGACAGGACTTTTCATGCTTATAAGGCAAAGGACATTCTACTGGCAAGACTTGAGCCATCCAGCTTAAGGAAGTAGGAAATGGCCTTATACTAACTCAGACTGGTGGGCTCTTCAGCATTATATACTGACTGGAAGTGGCTCTCTGGAATTTCAGGCCAGGGTTCATAGCAAGCTGGTACACTATTCCTTAATTCTAACAATATGCCCATCCCACCATCTCTCTCTATTCTGTACTTGGCCCCAAACTAGTGGACCTCAGAGTTCAAGGAAAAAGTGAAGGAGAATTCCTAAGCTTGAAATATGCCCACCCTGACAAATAAGAACAACCAAAACTCCTTTCTTGGGTAACTCTTGAGTTTATGAAAGATCCACTGCGTTTTCTTAAAATTTCAAGTTTCATCTTATGCCCAAAGACTCCATGCAAGTAACAATCAACTAAACAAATCATAGTTAAATCAACGACAGATATGAGCCTTACCATATTAATTCCATTAATTTAAACCAGCCAGAATAAAAAAATAGAAAAGGTGTTCTATGCACTCTCTGCATAAATATTTTTAACATTTGCTACTGAAAGAAACACCATTGGCATGATCACAATATGCACAGTCAATGTTGATATGAAGTTTCTACATGCAAATAAGGGGTGGGGCGGTAATAACTAAAGGAAATAGAGACTAACAAAAGTCAGGCATGTCAATGGAAGTACTTACCAAGACACTTGAAGGGAACAACAATGTGGGTGTGGCCTTTGCACTGCTTCTTGCCTGTTTTACACCAGTTTTCAATGCTGACTGGCTCATTGGCTTCCACCACATTTGTAATCTGAAGCTCTGGATAAATCTATTTTAAAAGTGAAAAGAAATACTATACACATGGAGAATTGATAGACTCTTGGCAGGAGACAGGGAAAAAACAACATTTTAAGAAGGAAAGATAACTCCTTAAGGGACACAAAATGTGCAAAAAGCCTGTTATGTTTATCGAAATAAGAAACTAGGTCAACAACAGGCCAGTTCACATGTAATGCCAAATCCCCATTTGGCATTACATGAACAACCCTTTTTCTCGCACATTCCCTTTTGCCTCCTCCTTCCCCCTTTACTTCACATATTCTGCTTTCCTAAGTAATTGTTTATTTAACAGAAACCATAACTTACTTCTACACTTGAATAAGCAAACTATAGTTTGCATGAGTGAATTCTGGTTGTGCCTTGTGGTGTTATATTAAACACAAATATGTTTAAATTGAACACCACTCAGACCTGACCATCTCCTATACAGATGAGGAAATTCCTGAAGGTAGTTATTCTGGGCTTGAAAATACTCCAGCCTTGGAAGTTGCAGAAAAATCAAATTTTATCAAGGGTAAAACCTTTCAAGAAAAAAAATCTCCCAAAATTCACAACTGCCAACACAATGATGCTGGTTCTTTGCTTCCTAAGCACAAGAACATATGCATGACTTACACATATGCTGAAAGCTTCCTCCTCTATTTGCTTGGGTGGGCACTATCAGATTGTTGCTACCAATGCAGCACCTTAAAGAAGCCAAAACATGCTGCTGTTGTAACACCAATCACCTCGCACAGCCATGATGGTGGCTTTGGGGTTAGTATCCTGGTTGACATGGCCAGGTCAAACACAGGAAATGAGATTGTATCAAGTGCACCTGCAACCTTAAGGCCAGAACCTGCAGCTTACAGTCATTCTTTGTCACTTCTGCTCATTGATGCACTATCACTGAAGTTAACAGTCATCAGGATCTAAATGATGGTTGAACTATCACTACTTACCTCAGGTAACAAGGCAACTAGTGATATGCATTGTGTGTGTGTGTGTGTGTGTGTGTGTGTGTACGCGTGTGCGCGCGCACACACACACAGAGAATGTATGTCATTGCAAATACTTCAGAATAGCTAGCCAGAGAAAGGAATGCAATCCCCAAACCTTTTACAATGGAAGCCTTTGCAAAATGCTGAACAGACATGGGTAACACAAATCCAGTGCATATGAGTTTTCATGCACAGGGGAACTACGTCGCAAGTGGGACTTCCTCGCGATCTCTATGTTGTGGCAAAGTGCTTTGCGGAAGGGACTGCACTGCAGTTGGGAAATTTAGCTGAAGTTATGAGTCATCAGGATCTAAACAAAGGTTGCACCAGCTACAAAGAATGATTGCTTACCTCCTGGCAGTACTGCAGAATCTCTTCTTTCCTTTCAAAACAGCTATTTGTCCCAAAAGTATCAGGTTCCCATTTTCCAGTCTGGATATTGACATGCATATTAAGCTTTCCACAGAACATGGCAATCTGAGGCTCAGCCACAGCAAATCCTGTGCCGGCATTGGCAGCAAGTGCCTATGGAGAAAAAGAAGTTAATGTTACACACAAGTAGCTTTTTCATCTTTTTATTTAAGAAATTTATCTCCCACCTTTCAGGGCAAAGATCTCCCAAGGGAGGTTATAAACATAATAGAAGTATAAAACATGTGTTAAAATACATATAAAACAATCCAATTACAAAACTAAAAACAGCAGCAGTTAAAAGCCCACCACACTTTCACCATGAGTTGAGGAAAAGAACTTTGGAAAGAAAAGAACTGAGGAAAGAACTTTGTACTTCATAAAAACAACCCTCTCTTGCACCATGAATATGGTGAGCCTTCAGAACTTGAAAACTTCCTCTCACTGCAATGCAGCTTGACAGACCAATGCAAACCTACTACTGGTCCTGATAAGCTAAGCTTCATGACCACACTTCCAGGGGGCTGTTGCTCCTTCTGCCCACTGGAAGGAGAATACAAGGCAAATTGGTCCTTAAAGCCACCTATTAATTCCTTCCATTGGTGTGTGTCTCATGCATGTCTTTCTTTACTGATAAAAGTGACCCTTCTACAGCATTTCAAAACAGACAAAGGAATTCAAAGACATTTCCTTAATTAGGAAGGTGGTGTGTGAATACATCCAAGTATGTGTATATAACAGCCACATTTGGACTATCATATCTCAGATTGGTGGCACTGTGGTCTAAACCACTGAGCCTCTTGGCTTGCTGATCGGAAGGTCAGCGGTTCGAATCCCCGCGACGGGGTGAGCTCCCATTGCTCGGTCCCTGCTCCTGCCAACCTAGCAGTTAGAAAGCATGTCAAAGTACAAGTATATAAATAGGTACCGCTCCGGCGGGAAGGTAAATGACGTTTCCGTGTGCTGCTCTGCTTTTGCCAGAAGCAGCTTAGTCATGCTGGCCACATGACCCAGAAAAACTGTCTGTGGACAGTTGTCGGCTCCCTCGGCCTGTAAAGCGAGATGAGTGCCGCAACCCCAGAGTCATCTGCGACTGGACTTAACTGACAGGGGTCCTTTACCTTTACCTTTTTATCTCAGACTATTAAACTAACATATGTGCAAGTTTTTTTGTTCATGCATAGACCTCCTTTGCTCCTCCCTTCAGCTGATAGTTGCCATTAAACCTATTTAACTATAACTATTCAGTTATTTCTTCCAGACTGAAAAAGGTTACAGCTTCAGAACAAGTGAATATACTAAACTGTGGTTTGAATCTGGTTTAACATCTTGGCTTGTACTGAAGCTAGCAGCCTTGTTTTCCTACTTTGGATGAAATGTGAAACTATAGTTAAAAGGTTCCCTGGTTTAACTGCAGCTGACAAAAAAGCAAGGAACCAAGGGGCTCCATGCACAAGCAAGACTTGCTGCTTAACCAGGCAAGACATGACTGCCTGAACCAGTTCAAAAAGACAATATAATTTCAGGCTAAACTAAGCTGCCCCTGGAGAAAGAGAACTCAATCAGTAAAGATGCAACGACATTCACTGTCAATGCCAGAAGTTATGAATTAGCAGAGCTGAAGAGCTTCACTATAGCAGCTTCGCTCTGCTGCTGTTCCCCAAATAAGATCAACTTGAGGGGTACAATTTTAGATGGTGGAACAGAATCTTCATCATTATTGTTTGCTATTTTCAACCTTCATTACAATTTTCAGTTCCCTTTGAGAATCTAATATGAGGGGGCAGAAAGAAAATAAGCAGGGTTTTATCAGGAGAGACTAGTTCATCTCCAAGATCCAGCATGGCGATGGTTCACAATCTGCGAATAGGAAATATGCCTATTAATTTGACTTCAATATTGTGTGTGTGTGTGTGTGTGTATATACATATACATACATACACACCAACACTAGCACCTATACCAATAAACCTAGTATACTTGGTGACTAATCATTTAATAATGTATCCCATGATGGTTTCAGTGTTATCCGTAACGCATTATAAAGAAAATGACAAATATTTAGTAAGACCAACAAATTATTCTCTGCCTAGGGCCTGAACCTGATGAAAGGAAAGCGAAAAGTTTTGGCATATACGACACACTACAGGTACAAAAGTTTGGAAACTCAGTCTAAACCAGACATCAATACACCAACTGGACCAGTGACCCAAATGGAGAATTTGTGATTTACTACTTTGTTCTCTCAGAGGAGGATTCCTTCAAATACTTTGCCTAAATTAGAAAGAAAGTTGTTTGGCCCCAACACCAGGAATATTCTTAACACTTCTAGAAAACAGCCTCACATCCTCTTTGGGAAGGGAGGGACAGCATTAGCACAGGAAGGAAAGAAGAAAACACAATGGCATAGAGAGATTCATAGAATCATAGAGTCGGAAGAGACCACAAGGGCCATCGAGTCCAACCCCCTGCCAAGCAGGAAACACCATCAGAGCACTCCTGACATATGCCTCTGCTTAAAGACCTCCAAAGAAGGAGACTCCACCACACTCCTTGGCAGCAAATTCCACTGTCAAACAGCTCTTACTGTCAGGAAGTTCTTCCTAATGTTTAGGTGGAATCTTCTTTCTTGTAGTTTGGATCCATTGCTCCGTGTCTGCTTCTCTGGAGCAGCAGAAAACAACCTTTCTCCCTCCTCTATGTGACATCCTTTTATATATTTGAACATGGCTATCATATCACCCCTTAACCTCCTCTTCTCCAGGCTAAACATGCCCAGCTCCCTTAGCCGTTCCTCATAAGGCATCGTTTCCAGGCCTTTGACCATTTTGGTTGCCCTCCTCTGGACACGTTCCAGTTTGTCAGTGTCCTTCTTGAACTGTGGTGCCCAGAACTGGACACAGTACTCCAGGTGAGGTCTGACCAGAGCAGAATATATTCGTTTATAAAGGCTCAATATTTGGGATAAGAGACTTCTTTCAGGGGCAGCTTGACAAATTTATTGAGAGGAATGACTTCTGTCTTAAACAATCTTGCACATTAACTGATAAATGGTTGGCTTTAGCCTCTATAACCAGTCTGTTATGAGTGTGCTCTGTCCTCTGAACACATTGTTAAGTCACTGTAGAATCAAGTCAAGGGAGCCTGATCCCTTGAATTGAATTCTTGCAGGCAAGTCTGAGAATCCATACCATAAACCTCTTGTTCTCCACACTTGTGCAGCTTCTCATTCGCACTATCAAACAATGCCAAGCACCAACTCCCTATGCCCATGTCCTCTGGAGATCTTTCCACCTTTCTCCTCCTTATCACTTTGGGCTCAAAGGCAGTCTTCCATCTACTGTATTGGGAAGCCAAATATTTTTTCTACCCTTGAGCTATGGTATCCCACTTTCAAAGTACCTGCTATAGACCTGGAACATTCAGTCTTAATTGCCTTCCTAGACTACAGAATCCATTTACTACAGAAAAGTAAAGGGAGTCTGAAATGAATATAAAATAAAAGCTGTACTCCCTTCTTTGCCTTCATGTAGTTTCTCCATTAAGCAAAATCTGTTTACAGCTGACAAAAGTTGCATGCAGGGCACACTGATTTCTAGTCTGTAGGCTGATTAAAACGAGCCTTTCTACCACACACTATGGTATTCACATACAGGTCTTGAACAACCTGGAATTACTCAAATATCAGGGGAGGACAAATGCAAATGTCTGTCGTTTGAAGACCATATTAGCAAGCAAATGAAACGTTTCAGAAAGAGAGGGTGGAACAGTGTTCAGTGCCAGGAGAAACAGGAGACAGGGCGTGTCTGGAATGTTAACCTTGGGTGTTCACATGCTGCATTGTGCAAAAATAGTCCTGGACTTTGACTTATAACATGCAAAGGATTTATAAGGTCTATCCTACTGTGAGCCACTGTAATTTTCTTTCTTAGAATGGTACTAACAAATGTATACAGCAAAACCAAGTGCAAGAAGCTGCAAGGTCAGCTATGCCTATTAGAAATTCATCCAAAATTTGTTCTGAACCAGCATGAACCTTGTTCAAACAAAGATCTTTAAGTCAAGAGGATGCTGTGTTTAAACATTAATGCTGAAGTGTTTATTTTAGCCATCTTTTCAGCTTATCGCCACATTACTAAGGGAAGCTTATCCCTTTACTAAGGGAAAGGTATCGCTCCTCCTTGGATTGTTCAAATAGTTTGCATATCACTGGAGACAGGTTGCCATAGAGACATTTAAAATACTTTATTCGCAAGTGAATAAGCTAAATGAGTCACTCACCCTCAAGATGTTCCTGTTACCTAAAGCAAGTTCAGGTAGATATATGAACCACAGAAAAGAACATTTCATGTCCTGCAGTACAGATCAGTGCTTAGCCAATATCATGTACACAACATTTTGAACATCAGAGTCCAATCAGGCTGCTTAAAGCATTCAATTGTCTTATGCTAATCATCCAAGCATATGGACATTACGCATGGGGCAGCACACAAATGTCCTAAATAAAAAACTATATAAATAAATAAGTCACCAACATCAGCTAAGGGTTGTACATCCTTTCATAAGCCTAGCCTAAGTGTTCAAGTCAAGACCAACCCACATCACACACATCAGTTGTATGAAACAAAATTACAGTTGTTCATAAACCCAGACATACACACGTTCCAACTGAATGTGAGACATGTTAGACCTTCTAATTAAACAGAAGTTACAACAAGGATTTAAAGATCACGTACATTACACAAAACAAGAAGTGGCAATTCCAGGATCGTGGGAGTGAGTAGACTGAACTTCCTTCCTTTCTGCCTGAAGTTTTGATCTGAGGACAAAAAAGTCCTTTCTTAACCCAATAGCAGGTTTCACTCTCATATGTGGCTGAAAAACCTCCTACTAGGTTCATCTGTGACATCCCACTAGTATGTACTCTCCTACCACCACTGCAAAAAGCCTTCAAGGCATTTCTTTAGATGTTCTGGACATTTTCTGCCAAATTCTGCTGCAAGTTTGCTTTCCACAAAGACATATTCTGCTCTGTAGTAACTTCATTGAAATGGACAGTTTGTGCATTTTCCCAATCCAGGGCAAACCTGGTGAAGTTTGCTTTTTTTTCCCCTGAACAAACTCAATTTCAAAAATTTCCACTGAGCTGCAAAATAAATGATCAAGAATCAACATTAATCTGAAGGCTGGAAGGGGCCACAGATAGGAGGAAAATTCCAGGGTGGGGGTTGTTGTTGTTTTTTCAATGTCTTCACATCCAACCACAATATTGATTTATTTTTCATTTTTAATGTCTAGCTTGTTTAATTGGTCTGCTTTACTACTGTTTCTATGCCACCAGCAGCCAGTGGAGATGAAAAGACTTTTAATCATGTTGCCTGGAATGGAGAGAATTGCAATCCAGCCAACAGGCTGCTAAACTATGTGTTTCCTTCAAAACAGCAGCAGGTTCTACAATGGCATTTGCACAGCTGAGGCAGGTCTCTGAAATTTTCGTTGGCCTGGGTGGTGGCCTAACTGCTCTTTGTTTTACTTTATGCAGGATGCAAAATTTGTCGTGAGTGCTTGCTTAAGTATTTATGGTGATTAGTGGTGCAATCTAAGTACATATGGAAAGAATGTTTACTTAAAAGCACATTAATCCTAATCATTTAGCCTCAAAATCAACCAATACTGAGACCAGAGTCATCAGCAATGACAGATTTTAACCAGGCCCACCCCTGCGTGGTGGTTCATATGAGGCAAGTGATGTGAAATCTCAATATTTTTTTAATTGGAAAAGGTTCTGATGCCCTGAGTGGATCCTATTTAGTATGTTTGCCTGACTTATTTAGTACAGTGATACCTCTGGATGCGAACGGGATCCATTCCAGAGCCCCGTTCGCATCCTGAAGCGAATGCAACCCGCGTCCGCGTGTGCGCAGGTCGTGATTCGCCACATCTGCACATGCGAGTGGCATCATTTTAAGCGTCTGCGCATGCGTGAGCAGCAAAACCCGGAAGTAACGCATTCTGTTACTTTCGGGTCGCCACGGAGCGTAACCTGAAAACGCTCAACCTGAGGTACAGTGGTGCCCCGCAAGACGAATGCCTCGCAAGACGGAAAACTCGCTAGACGAAAGAGTTTTCCGTTTTGGAGGTGCCTCGCAAAACGAATCTGCTATGGGCTTGCTTCGCAAGACGAAAATGTCTTGCGAGTTCCTGGGTGTTTTTTTTCCTTTTCCCCCTCTTTTTCTAAGTCGCTAAGCCGCTTATCTGCTTATCAGATAAGCTGATAAGCTGCTAAAAGCCGCTAAAAGCCGCTAAAAGCCGCTAATAGCGCTAATAGCGCTAATCCGCTAATCCCATCAATGGGCTTGCTTCGCAAGACGAAAAAACCGCTAGACGAAGAGACTCTCAGAACGGATTCTTTTCGTCTTGCGAGGCACCACTGTATGACTGTACAGTGGTACCTCGGGTTACATACGCTCCAGGTTACATATGCTTCAGGTTACAGACTCCGCTAACCCAGAAATAGTACCTCGAGTTAAGAACTTTGCTTCAGGGTGAGAACAGAAATCATGCTCTGGCATCGTGGCAACAGAAGGCCCCATTAGCTAAAGTGGTGCTTCAGGTTAAGAACAGTTTCAGGTTAAGTACGGACCTCAGGAACGAATTAAGTACTTAACCCAAAGTACCACTGTACTGTAAACCGAACAGAAAAAAATGCATAATTTACATACTGTGCATGGCAACCCATGCCGGTAGTGTAGATTTTGGCTCAACTCTGTCACCCTTCCACTCCCCCCAAAGCTCAACAACTTTTGAAATATGGTAACCCTAGAGTTAGAAACGAAGTTTTTGGAAGGGGGCTTAATGGAGGAACAAGAGAACAGCAGCTTGAATTCTCCCCAACAATCATCATGATTCCCATCTGCATTTGACTTTATTAGTCAGCAGGCCCTAGACTCCACTACAACAAAAACTAAGTTGAAAGACTAATGGAAGACCTCTGAATGCAGGATGCTGTGTGAACAAGTTTTTATGTTAGACAATAGCAATTAACTCCTGAGATTAGTATGCATTGTCACTCTGCAGAGCACTTCTAACAAAACTTAGATTCAAGTTCACCCATGAGACACCAAAGAGGATTTGTCAAAGCAAACACTTGGTGTCACATCTTGTAATTGCAGCATGAACTAACTGGAAGAGGGAGACTATTGGTTCTAATATTTAAGAAGGCACACAGCAGCATCACAGACTTGTGCACATTAACTTGGGTTGGAATCAACTGAAATAGATTAACCCAAGCCACTAAAACTGGGACAATTTATATAAGGCTATTCAGAACAGAAAGACTTTGGTACAAACAACTGCACAGTTAAGCAATCTTGGAGGCAGGGGGAGATTTGTTTACTTGCAATTCTACCAACATATTTACATTATTTATAGGCTACCCTAAAACAAGAAATTATCTGGATGGCTCACATAATAAAAGCCACAGACTTCTAAAAAGATTTAAATCAGATCTAAAAACTGGAGAGTGAAGAATAATCAACAAGGTCACACTCCCCCCCCCCAAGGGCTATCCAACAGAGTGATCAAGGCAATTTCATTATGAAAAGCAGAACTAAACCTCAATTTAAATGGCTCTACTTCATCCCAGAGTGCTTAGATTTGGCTAGCAGCCACCCACTCCAGCACTTTGCCCAAGGAAGGGATGTTACCCAGCACCCTATTGCTGCTCAGATCTTCTGGGTTTCACGGAGTGACAATCTGAACAGCCTAATCCTGTTCCCATTTCAGCCTTATGGCATTCAATCATAGGTCCCATTCTGTCCCATTTTCTGGATAGACAAGTTCACATTTAAACTGTACACATTGTGAACATACTTGCGTAAAATTTACCCTTTTCAGTGTACTCATCCATACAATACATATTAAATAATACATGTGTACATACTTTTTGTTCACCAAATGCTACAACACAAATTTCATGAAATGTGTAATGTGACTTGGAGTTTCACTCTGATCCATAAGCAATTTCTGGTTATCAGATTACTCCTTTGTAAAATGTGGACGAAACAAATTCCTCTTCTATCGCTAGTTCAAGGTAAGCTTTTCCAGCAGCTGTATCAATTTTCTATAATGAAGCTGGGATCACTTCCCAGACCCAGCCAGCCAGCCATCTAATCTTTGCTAGAGATAATAAGCCAAGCCGGAAACTGATTTTACCAGGCTGGGGAGACAGTAGATATGTGTAAATAAAATAAAACGTGTTCCACAAAGCACGATGTCACTGAATGTAAACTTCTAGCATCAAAGGCACACCGAATGCGCCCACCTTGAAGCTTCAGTTTGTTTGCATTTAGTCAAACCAGAAAGGCTTGATGTGGACACAGGAGTTGTCCTAACTACCACTAATAATTCAGCTGTGGCTCCTTGTATTGAATTGTATTTAAACCTCATGTCTGGCAAGAACGCAAACAAAAGGGCTCCTGTCCTGCGGTTCTCAGTCAAGTATGAGCTGTCAGAGCGAGAGAGGCTGGCCAGTAAGATGTCAACTGAGCATGTCAATGTGCTGGTTGCAAAGGAGAGAGTGACCACTGGTTAGCTGCAATAGTTATCTCCTAAAATAACACTAGGTGCTGGGACTTAAGAATTGAACTATTTCATGGGAAGAGTTTAGTCCTTAAAGGAAGTGGGGGGAAATCATTCACTGAGTTTGTAGGTATCCTATCCATTTCTTCCAATGATGTCATGAAAGGAGCACATGAGGCTGCCATGTTTGTCCATCTAGTCCAGCATTGCCTTCACTGTTAGCGACTCTTTAGGGTTGTGGGTCACTATGCCTTTTCTTCAAAGCATTGTAACAGCCCACAGGCATAGTTTCAGCACTTCTTATTTAATGTTGTGCCTAATTTTTTCCTGGCTATTTAGTGTATTTCGCTGTTATGTATCGATTCACTACTTGTGGTTTCAATTGTAATTTGTGTAACCACTTAGTATTTTTTAATACTAAACAAAACAAAAACAAATGAGCGAAATGAAACAAATCGAACAACAATGACTTCTGCCTTAATTAGACTGAGAATCGTCGTAGATGCAAACTCCTACATGTGAAGAACTTTGATGGACTCCAAATTCAACCAGCATGGCCAATGGTCAGGGATGTTCTGAGTTTAAGCCCAGCAACAACTGAAGAGTCACAGGTTCTCTGCCCTGTTTTAAAGTCACAATCACTTTGTTACATCAAGAGCTTTGACCAATCAGCTTTTATGATGCATCTTCATTTAAGGTAGATGTAACAAGAATTAATCACTACCATTACTTTTGATTTAGCCATGAAAAGCTTAGTTACATGAAGCAATGCTGCAAATAAACCAGCCAAGTGTAGTTTGAGCCAATCTGTAGTATAAAGTACGCTGACGTTTTTCTTTAGATCTTATGCAGAATTAGCAATAAATTTCAGTGTACTCAACCCATGGGAATGTCTGTTCTAGAACCATTCAGAGGTTGAATAACCTTTCAGTAATGCATTAGCTCTGACTTTACTTCAGTGTACTGGAAATTCCAGCAGTTTCTTTGGAGCACTGATGAAATTCACTCTCTTCAGCAAGGACAAAGAATTTGTTCCTAGGAAATTGATCCTTAGAGATCGTATGTGTTCAGGAGCTAGCCTCAAGTATTCCCTTCCGCACCAACTCCCCAGCACTTGAAAAAACACTGGGAGGCAGAAAGAACACACAAGACTACAAACCTTTCCTGGCTGTAGACTTTAATCTCTGAGGTCACAGTCATACATTCACTGGATATTGATATTATTATTATTATTATTTACACAAATACAGTAGATCAAGTTCACACATGCTTCAGGTTCATATATGGTTCACCTGTGATGTGCATGCCTTTTAGGATGAGACTAAGGAGGTAGATGTAGAAGGTTTTTAATCCATCAGTCTTCTGAAATTATTGTTGGCGTGGAAAGAATTTTGCATTGTGCTTCAAACTGTTTTTTCCTAGTTGCTCTTCCTGCCTTTATTCAGCAGCTAGATGGCTGGAGCTCAGGAAGACTAATTAATGCCTAACATAGCAAGCCATAGATCTAAAGATGAGCAACTCTTTTAAGCTTTAGTATTTTTTATTTTTTTAAAAGCTAGTATATGCAACAACACACTCAGGCAAGAGAGGAATAATTATTGTTTGTAGTCAGATCTGGTGCACCTAGATAATGCCAGCCACTGTCTGACTGTGAATTTAAATAGTGCATAACAGCATACTTCTCTGGTTTTCTGGAATTCGTTTCACCCGTTCACTCGTTCTATAGGAAGCCCTAGTGCACAGATCCACTCTATGGCCAACATCAAGGTTCAAGGGAATATGCTACCATCACCCAATCTTAATGCCTTTTAGGAGGCAGCACAGTCATGTGTAAGAAACTCAGCTGTACTCCATTTTATTTTGTAGTCTTAGACAGAAAAATACCTTGGAAGAATGCATCAGCCTTTCGGATTTTTACATTTCAGAAGTGGATGTTGGGAACGTTATGGCTGCATTTTTCTTCAATATAGTCTATCAATATGGAAATCTACTAGTACTTCTAATTATAATTGTTATAATAAAGTTGCTATGGATATATACTGCACTGTTAAAATAAGTTTTGCTTCCTCAGCATGGACACCATACATAATTAGGGCATATTGAATTTTTCAAATTTTGAATTCCCAAAATGAGGGGTGCTAAAAAGTTGCAACCTTACTTGGGAATTCAAATGATATTGTGTTTACATTAATATAGTTTAGTTTTACTTGGCAAATAACTACATATTTACTTTTGAATGTTTTTGTGACATTTCCAATAATTTTAAACTTGACTTGACTTAAACTTGACTAAAAAAACCTGATGAAACTTGTTTATATTTCTTATTAACTGATGTAATTACTTCCTAATGTTGTTTTATGATTACAAGGTAATGTTGTATACTTCTCAGGACATGTTTTATGCAGAAAAACTATTTTTTTAAGAACATTACCTGACATTTTTAGAAGGTAAAGTAAAAATTCTTTGGTTTTTCTATAGCAGTTTATGCGCTTTTAAATCAAACATAGATTTACCAAGCTAAATGTTGTCCAACCACAAAAGTAATAGCAGTTTTGAATTCCTCACATCCAAAAACATATTTTGAAGACCTGTCACTGAATAAATTTGCAAAAATTAAGTTTGACCCATAAAACGACATTGTAATCATGTATATCATTGACATGTTTATATTTTGTTTCTCTTGCCTGTGTGCATGAGTGTAAATTGTGTGCACCAAAACATCTGATGAGGTGGGCTCCTGTTCACAACAACTTATGCCACCATAAAACAGTAATTTGTAGGTATGCAAAAACAGTCTGGTACATTACTTACTTAAATGTAAGCAAAAAGATATTTTTCTTTGAATTCCTCAATCTTCTTGGATATCCAAGGAATATGACAGTACCAGGACATCAGATACAAGATTTGTCCCAACACGAATAATCAAATAAATTAACTATCAAGCCATGGTATTTTTTATGTAGTATCAAAGTTAGTGATACTCCTTTAAATGTGCATGTTGCTACTGAAGTTTATTTTCTTTTTGCATGCATTTAGATGACTCCTGTTTGACTGAAGCAATGTCAAATCTTGATACATATGTGCATTAGATAAACAGATCAGTTTTACTGGTAGAATTTAGTGCAAAGCCAAAGGACTCATTCAAGGTCATGGTAATTACGCTGACTGGATTAGTACCTATCCCTCCTCCTCCCACTAACCTCTGTAATTAGTCTTATAGGATGATAAATTACCGCTTTCCCACAGGAATTATGAAAGTTTAATCCACAAAGAAAGCTAAAGAAGTTGCCTTTGTTTTAGAGTTATGCACTTTTTGGAAGGAGTCTGCTCCCTGCTCCCCCTGCAATGTAATAAAACATTTAACAATCATTCAGCATCCCCAGAAACATTTTTTTACAAGGAGTTCATAACTTACTTTAAAAAGGTGAGTACCAGGAACAGTCTTTAGACTCCTGGGTATTCCTTGCTTCTGACCTAGATTATTTCAACTGTGGGCATCCTGCTTCAAAAGTAGGACTTCTCTTTTGCAATGAGAACTTTTAAAAGAACGTGACTAAGATATGCTGCAGTTCTGCTTGATCTATGTAGATAATATGAGTCTGTCTGTTGCTGACACAGCAGGCACTGCAAATCTAACCATACAAATTAATAATAATAACAACAACCATTACTGTTATTGTTACTATTACTATTACTATTACTACAGTGGTACCTCGGGTTAAGAACTTAATTCGTTCCGGAGGTCCGTTCTTAATCTGAAACTGTTCTTAACCTGAAGCACCACTTTAGCTAATGGGGCCTCCTGCTGCCACCACGCCACCGGAGCACAATTTCTGTTCTCATCCTGAAGCAAACCTCTTAACCTGAGGTACTATTTCTGGGTTAGCGGAGTCTGTAACCTGAAGCGTCTGTAACCCGAGATACCACTATATGTACCACTACTACCATCACATTACGCAACAACAACAACAAAACAACAACAATTATTGTTATTATTACTATTACTACTACAATCACATTATGCACACAAACATTCATCAATTGGGAAAGATCTTGGGATTATCTTTCTCCCAACAGCCGGGGCCAAACCATGAGTTTCAACATCTTCGCCCTCACCAAGTACTCAGAAATATTTGTTCATCCATTGGTTCTCTCATTCTCACACACCTGTCATCCTACCAGTGACTATGCCCCCTCAATTCAACCCAACTTTTAAAAGGAAAACTCTACTCTTGAATACTTTAGGGTTCCCTGTCCGCACTCACCTCTGAACTTCAGAAATTTGGAAGAATAGTGCAATGAAATATAAAGACAGCAGAAAAATACACATAATGCTGCACCATCATAGAATCAATAAAATGTCAGCATCTGGATCCGGCCCAATCGCCTTCTAAATCAAGCCCGCAGATGGTCCGGGAATCAACATATCTTTACATGAGTAGAATGTGTCTTTTTATGTAAAATGCATCTCTGGGTTATTTGTGGGGCATAGGAATTTGTTCATTCCCCCCCCCAAAAAAATATAGTCCAGCCCCCCACAAGGTCTGAGGGACAGTGGACTGGCCCCCTGCTGAAAAAGTTTGCTGCCCCCGGTTTTAGAAGCTTGCTTTAAAGGCTAGGGAAAAGCAAGCAGGACAAGGCAGGCTCCCTCAGGAAGCAATTCCAAAAACACAATGCTACAACTGAAAAGAACCTGTCTCATGTTCCCCCAGTTCACTTCTAAAGGTGGGAGAATAAATAAAAGACAACCTTCTTTAATTAAAATGCCCAGCACCCTAGGATTTCAGCAAACTCTTAGCCTTAACAGGAACCTAAAGGCAAACACTATAACTGTGCAGCCACATCACCTCCAAACTAACAAATTCAGTGGTCACAAAGTAGTGAGATCAAGCTATGATGGAAGAGTAAAAAAGCTATCCAGCACTTAATATAGCCATAAACACACACACACACACCCGCTCAAAACCAATGAAAAACTACAGGTGGCCAACTCTATTCAACAATTATACATATTCAGTGCTGGAATTAACATCTCTGAATATTTACATGTTTAGTTACTGATTAGAGGTCATATCCTCTTTGAAACTATGTCCAGGTACATGAGGCAGTTAATGTGGAAACACAAAATGAGATATCTGATCTGCAAAATGGTGCTGAATTCGCATTTCAGTCTTTCAAAGATAATTGTAAGTGGCACAGGCCTATAGAAAGTCATCACCCAGTATACCATAGCAAGGGATTCTCTTTTATTATGGTAAGCATTGTTTGCATTTTAGAGATAACACATTAAAACCATGACTAGAGAACCATGAGCTTTTTTTTCCTAGCCAAAGATGTGTTTGCCAACCACTGCTCCAGACTATAGATGTCTCTTTTTTACTACATGAAAAAGTACTAGAAACAGTAACTCAAAGTCATGGAGCAGATATTGTTTAGGACTGTATAGCATGGATTGATAAACCCTAGACTGAATGGCATACTTTCCATTGCATCAACAAGGTGAATCTTCGTTCATTTCACTTTGATAATGCTTTTGATAGCTTGGCAACTTCAAATGAAATGTTTTTTGTTACAAAATGAGACTTAGAGTCAATATATTCATATGTTTGCTGGCAGCACCACCTACATTACACAGGAACAAGTTACCTTGGTATCATATAAGGCTTAACTCTTGCTTTGAATTGATTAATAGAATGATGAGCCTGTGACTCAGTATTTACTTGCTAGCACAAAGCACTGTCCCTACGTTCAGTGAAAATGCAACGAGGGTGAGGGAAACAGCCATTCATTTATACTTAAACTGAGGGTGGGAGGGCAGGAACACCTTATGAAGTGTGTTATGCTTATTTTGCCTTGAGTGCAGGGGTCATGAATCAACAGCTGCTTGCTGACCCATGCATTCCTGGCAAAATGAAGGCAACACATTTCACAAATGAAAAGGAACTTATTATTTCCTATACCGCAACTCCATGGACAACATTTATAAAGTATGAAACAGCCCACACAGCTGATTTTAGTGTACACTCTCCAAGTGCCAGAGTTTTTGGAATATATCCACAAAGGCAAATCAGTGTGCTTTCACACATACAAAATCTGGAAAACCCTTGTGCATGTGTTACACTGGGAGTATCCGCTTTGTCCTTCTGAGGCATATATTTCATTTTTAAAAAACAGGGCTTCCCAAACTTGGGTCTTCAGCTGTTTTTTGAATTGCAGTTCCCATCATCCCTCACCACTGGTCCTGAAAGTTAGGGATGATGGGAGTTGTAGTCCAAAAAACAGCTGGAAACCCAGGTTTGGGAAACACCATTTTGAAATCTTGCCTACAATGTCAGAGGAAGAAGTTGTGAAAAGGGGAAGCTCTAAAGAGCAGTGATTCACTACAGAACTGGGGAACCACTTTCTGGTTCTTTCCCACAACCCTCACTATGAAATTTCTCTCTGCAATTATAGAGGGCTTCTAGATAAAAAATATATATTTAAATTTAACACAGATTATATGAAAGTTATGGATGAAACTTTAAATACCATGCTAACAACCACAAAGACAAAAGGAACAAATACAGCCCTGATTGCAACTTTGTATTTAAAGAAACAATGCGAGTATGTAGAGGAGAAAAGGAAGACAGTGACAGGTTTACTTCCGCAAAGAGAAACATCTCGGAAAGAACAGCAACTTTATTAAAATATATCAGATTTGCAGTTATTTGAATAGCTTGGCTGTAAAATTGCATTGCCACATGAACTGGAAAACTGCAGTCAGGAGAGCCTTCAATTAGTGGTTTTATAGGCTCCAAGGTCAAGATACGACCTTAATATCTATTGAAATGCAGAGTCCTATAACCTCTGCATCTCCTTCCACTACTAATAAATCTGCTGATAACAAGAATTAACCTCCCATTTACACCTGTATGACCAAAGTAAAAAGTGAAGAGGTTTTGTTTCTTCCCCCAGACCCACTTCTGTTGATGTTGAGGGGAAGTAGCTGAGGAAAAGAGAAGTCTCAACAGCTTGATGGTATTAACATCATCACTAAGCAAGCCAATCCTTTAACAAGTTTCTGAATCACATACAGTGGTGCCTCGCAAGACGAAATTAATTCGTTCCGCGAGTTTTGTCGTCTTGCGATTTTTTTCGTCTTGCGAAGCATGGTGTCGGGAAAGTTTTGGAAAAGCTTCAAAAATCACCAAAGTCTTTAAAAACCTCAAAAAAGGCTACCACACCGCGTTCTATGAGTTGCTCCTCGAAGTCAAGTCGCAACGGTATTAACGGTGTTAGGAAAAGGAAACAAACTTGCAAGACGTTTCCATCTTGCGAAGCAAGCCCATAGGGAAAATCGTCTTGCGAAGCAGCTCAAAAAACAAAAAACCCTTTCATCTAGCGAGTTTTTTGTCTTGCGAGGCATTCGTCTTGCGAGGTACCACTGTATTGGTATCCATACTTAGTTATGAAAAGTGTGTACTAGGGCAACAATGTAACAAAACTTAAAGGATGGTTCAGCCAAAGGGCAACACAAATCTATGCTTAGAAAAAAGCTTAACGGCAATATAAAATTAAGAAGTAAATTACAGTGCTAGGCAAAGAGAATCTGCCAGTTTAACTGGTTTCGTTTGATCCTGAAAAACAGTCTATACATCTTCAGCAGGCACTCTTGTAATCATCACAAGAAACTGCCAAGTGCATGTGCTGTGAGCAAATTTGTTAAACTTTTAAACTCTAGATGTGCATGCCTTCTTTGATGTCTCTTAATTCTTTCCACCATGGCAGATTATGGTTTGTTGTTAAAGAAACTCTAAAATGTGAGGTTTACATTCTGCAAGAAGAGTTCAAGAATGCTGTACACTCTGCCCTACTGCTTCCTGGTTCAAGTGGAAAAACATGACATTTTCTTTGAAGAATTTTACCTCTGGATTGCTGTTCTATCCTGACTGCAGTAGGCCTAATGCAGTCTGTACAGTTAACCACAGAAGCTGTTAGCTCCCTTACAAATTGTTAGATTTAAGTCACTAAATTAAGAGATTGGTTATTTACATGGCAGAAGTCAAGTTCACCAGAAAGAGGCAAAAGCAGGACAATGGCTTTCCAAGATCACCCCACCCCTCCAACTAGCCACTGCTGTGCCTACATGTGGACATGAACTTATTTGCAGCTGAACATGCAGGAAGTGATGCCATGGTAAGAAAGAATACTGTGCATACTAGCCCTCAGTCTCTTAATAATCAGGTATTTCTAAATTAGCAATTAGAAAACTGCTACAAGCTTACAAGCAGACTTCTCTGGACATCTTGCCAAAAATACACCTTCCCCAAAATGCAGGCAACAGAATTAATTGTAAACCGATTAAAAAAAATGAAAAAGCATACCACCAGTCTTAGCTTCCTTCCACTATGAAAGAGACTCAGACATCAGCCAGTGTGCTGTCACCATGCATTTTTATCCCATCAATGATGAGCTGGTCTGAAGGGCAAATTGATTATAGCACTGATGATCTTGAGGCCTTGTAGCCCATGGCTAGGAAAATGATGAATAATTTTAAAGATTTCCCCCCTGAGCAAAAGCATGAAGACACTGTACTAAACTGGACTGTTTTCCAGTTTAAGATCAGGGATGGGGGATATTCATGTCAGATTTGATTAGTTTAAACATGGACCACTGAGGAACTCAAATGTATACATGCCAACCACAAAAATAAACTGTCTCCAATGAATTAGACATGAATTATGCCCAATAGTTACACTTGCCAGTTATCAAACGTAGCAAATTAATTTCAACACAAAAATACATAAAGCTTGATTGCAGTTGCCCAAAAGACTGCACATATTGCCACTGCATTCCCAGTGTCCACAAATTTAACAGACCATAGCCTTGTTGACAACTGAAGATACTAAATGCTAACGGATTATAGTTTTGGGTAACAAAACTAAGACATGGGGGTGGGGTGGGAGCTTTGCAAATGAAAAGTAAAACTGCTAAATATAGATCCTGGTGGCCATGTGTCAACTTCTGCTATCAAATCCAACATACTGTCTCCAATAATACCATAATTGATCAAAATAAATCAAATGTGTAAATACCAAGAACAGGGACATGGACGATACTGGATTAAATACGTACCTTTTCAAAGGAGAAACATAAAATATTTGGTGGCTAAGTATTACCTGTAAAGTGATAGTCTTTTAAAGCACATCTAAAATTGATGTTCAGTGCATTCTGTCTGTGATTGAACTTAATTGGGAACCAGATCTCCAGCTGCAATTTCTAGTACCTTTTTGTCTGCCAGGCATTTAGGGGTTTGTGTTATATAAACCATACAGTGATTTGCAATACCCTGGGACTATATCTTGAAGCAGGGTTAAGAAAAATTAACACACTTCCATTGCCACATAGAAAAAACATCCTATAGCATTTTACATAACAGTTTGGGAAGAAACAGATGATTTTGTCTAAATAGATTTTACACTCATTTTTATTGTGTTTTGCTGTTCGCAAGCTATGCTGTATCAATATAAGACTATCAAGGTGTACTTTGCTGTAGACTAAAGATAATAGCAAGCAGCATAAAATGTAATACATCAATGAAACAATGCCAACAGTCCAAAAACAAAATCATCGTCCAGAAAATATACCACCTGAACAGGATAAAACAGCATAAATCATCCATACCAGGTTACAGAAGCAAGCAGCTACAGTTCTGTCTCCAATAGAGGTAGGTATGTGACTTTTGGCTTTTTTAAAAAAAATCAGAGCTTTACCAGTCTACCAAACATAGATCTCAACTCTTCCCATTTCCCCTCTACAGGCCACATTTTAGAAGATAGCAGGGTTATTCTTTCACCACTTGACCTCCACAGACAGTATCTTAAGCTGTCATCACCCGTGCCAAAACCACAGCTGTTAGCAAGCATTACATACTGGCCTACAATTTGCACTACTGCAATCATGGAGGAAAATGTGGTGGACCTACTACTGATAACCCATCACCATATGTCAAGTTTGACTTCAGCTTTTAGCTTGCAACTCTGGTCAGCAAGTACAGTGGTTCTCCAAAAAAACCCGCAATTCAGTGAAGGGTTGTGGGCAGCACCTAAAAAATGTTCTAAAGAAGCGTGTCAGTAAGCACTGCTACAATAAGAGTCATTGCTACTAGATCTGCTTGCTATTCTGTGCACAATCCATTTCACAGGCACATACACAGTTTTAAACAGATGACTTTAATCGAGCCAACCAAAGTTTGCAATGACTATACATGCTAGAATACAACTCAGTCATATAACAAACATGGGCTAGACTGTGCCCATAATCTTCAACTGTGCATTTAAGCAATTAGAGATCCGTTAGTTTTGCCTTCTAATTCCTACAGAGAAAAACATATCAAGACATAATTTCAACCTCATCAATGAGCATTCTTGTATCTGCTAAGATTTAAACAGTTACAGAAAGGTGTGATAAGGACTCTAGCTTTTGCAGACCTGCAGTACTAGTAATAAGAGTTTTGCCATAATGCTGCACCAAAGCAGAATGAAGTATATGAGAAAAGGTAAGCAAGCAAAAACATTTAGAGCAGATCGCCTGTTCAAGACCTCTTCTGTTTCATGACCTGAGAAAGCTGTGCAGGGAACAAAAGATGTGAAAGGGAATATTTTAAGAACAGGGGCTAAAGTTAATGCACATTTGAAAATGGAACTAATGAAGCAGTACATAGAAGCTATATATGCTGCTTATAAGACTTCAAGGGTAAAGTTACTAGCTCAAAACGTATTGAGCAATTGAGCACAATGAGCTGTGTACTATAAAAAGGTTGAATGCATAGAGTGTATAGCTGAAGGCTATAAACAAATTGCAAGTTCTGATTTAGAAGACACCATTAAAGCTGGAAGTTGCCATTTCCAGAGGATACCATAGTTCCTCAAAACTAGATTTTTGTGTGACATCCATCTTCTGTCCTTATATGTACAATACCTTTCAGAAGGCAACTCATCCATAACAACAAAAATTCCAACTGTAAGAATTTTATTGGAATGAGTAACAACTAGAAATGTAAATGTGCAAAAGCAATTCCAAAATGAAACACCAACAGGGTCAGAATATTAATTCAAATTACTCCAACTACTACTCAGAATTGAGTGCAACAAGTTCATTTCTTTCATGTAACTTGATCTGCAGTGAAGTCAAGCAATGGACAAAGTTGTATTATAATCTTTAATTTTGTTTAAAAAGAATGTCAAGGTAAGCTATATGAAGCATAGCTTCTATGTTCTCTCTCTCTCTCTCTATATATATATTTGATTCATGAGCTGCTATATCCAATTTGGAACCTGACATAACTTTGTTCTTTAACTTACAGATCAGAAACCATGTGCTAAATTAAATGAAACAGATAGTTTCAAAAAGCGTGTATACAGAATGCATTCACAGACAGAGCTGCAGCTCATAGTCAACAATCTTAATTTGACCCCTTCAAAGGCACACTAATAGAGTGATTTGTTTCAGTGCAGCCAGTTTCCATTTCAAGACAGCTCTAAATATATTAGTAGTCCAGCAGGTAAACATCCAGTTTGAGTTCATTTCATCTCTTCCTGCATGCCAGTGTGCAAAAATACCATTTTGTGCTAATAAGATCATTTAAAAGAGGAAAACAAATTGTCTCTTGCCATATGAAAGTTGATGGTTCCTGACCTTGAGGCCAGGTGATTTGAAGAACCATTTTCTCCCTTAAGCACCTGCCCACCCACTCTGTTCAGAGACCTTGCGCCACACCTGTTTGCCTTCAGAGGCTGAGCTAACTGGGACATGGCCAGGGCCTTCATCATATGGCACCAAGACAGTCCAACTGTCTACCTCAGGAAGCATGCCTAGTTTTCTCTCTTTTGACCCTTAGATAAATTGTCAAGAAGTTTATTCCACCAAGCCCTTAGAAAAATTTCCTCCTTGCTATAGATATTTTTTATAGATTGGATCTCTGATAATGGCTTTTTTTATTCATTGTAAACTACCTTAGGAACCTTTGTGGCCAAAATATAGGGCAGAAGTGTCTTAGTAAGTAGAACCCAGCAAATCAGCCCTGTCTGGGAAGAGGCAATTAAGTAGTAGTGGTTAATTTTCTTTTGCCATTCCATTTAACGACCTATGAAGAATGCCTTACTCAACACTGAGCTTCACATACATGCACTTCCAAACATGAGGCACAAACTGAAAACAGACATGTCGTAGATGTTAAACAGATTAATGGGTGTCCTGGGGACAGGGACTGGTTATCTGAGATAACTGAGTGAAAGAAAATCCACCTGACAGATGCCAAATCTACTGTTGCGTTGTTTTTTCTGTGATAAAACTAAACTTAATTAAGCACTATTAAGGCCACCTTTAACCTCTTGTGGAAGTCAAATGGGCATAAACCATCTTTCTGGTCAATACGTTTTCAGACCCAAAGTACCCCAATTTCTCTCTTTATTCTCATGATTAAAATAGCAATACGGAAGTCCAGAACTTAGACAGCATAGTCCGTTGCTAACCTACCACACAAAGCTGTAAGCTTAGATGGCAGCCTTCTGTCTAGCTACAGCCTCCACTTCAATGGCTGCTACGTAATCAATACATAGTTGGGATTTTGCTTTGCATATATAGCTCTATACTGGAAGGAAATAGGGCAGGCCTTTGCCACTAATTCCTGCACATGATACAGCTTCCAGACAGGATACAAACAAGCAGCTGAAGTTGTCTCGTATATGAGAGAGGAAGTGCCACACAGTTGGAAGAGATTTTAACAGGTGTAGGGGATTAATTCCATAATCAGGAAGCCCCCCTCCACGCCAAGTAATCCAAGAGGGGCTTTAGTCGGAATCCCACACCCCGGCCTCATTGAGTCTTGTTATCAACCTGGCAGAAAAACTTCAGGCAGGTTTTTCAAGATCAGTTATTGTCACTGAACTGCCATTACATTGCAAACAATTGTTGAGGAATCTGAAGAATTCTCATACAAGCAAAACTTGAGAAGACGATGAATTTGGGTAGCCTCATAGTGAATTCTGAAGGGCAAAATATATGAGATACAAATCAACCTTTTTTGCTCAAGATCATATTCTGTAGAATTTAGCAATGTGAACAAGGCAATTCCCATGCAAACAGTATGATCTTATAAAAATAATCCATGTATTATATGAAAAATTATCCCTGCAGGGCTGCTTTGAAGGCTGAGTTAATGTCTGAAATATGTTTTTGAACACTTTTGAATAACTATGTTATTGATGGGTATATACATCTCTATTTGTGTAAGGTAGACTTCTATATCCTGCTTCTCTAGCTAACTTCTGCCAAAAACCATCCTACAGTGCAGAAATTTCTGTATTATGTTTTAATGTGGACCTTGAGAATTAAAGTAATGTTGATGGGAAGGCAGGTCTTCCATGTCATCTAAGAAGAGCAAGTATTTAAATGTTTCATAAATACCCATTATGCTCTGATAAAGCTTTAATCTGAAAGACAATGAAATAGGCAGTTGAAACCAGAAGATTTAGCAAGGATCTATTGAGCGGATAACACAAAACAAATGATTTTTTCCCCTACAAAGTTGTCCTCTAAGCTTCTAGACCAATCTGACACTCACATTTCTTGTTACTGTGCCAAGAATGCAGAGGTCAGTTCTCATGCATTTGCAAGCACACATCCAGGGTAAAACAAAGACTCAGAAGATAGGTTTCAGACTCAATCTTAAGATAGCAATCCAAATTCTTAGCATACCACTGCAGCATCCCTTCTTGAACTCCTACAGAAAACCATTTGTTTTTATCCCAGAAAGGTTTGGCAAAAACCCATATTCATTTAAGCCCCCAATGCCAACCCTTTACCAGATAAGTAGAAAGAAGCCTTACATATCAAGAGCCCTGAAATGCTTTCACAAACACAGGCAAAATCCTGTTATGAAATGGCACCAGAAGAAGTAAGAGCTTGCTAGATTTAGAATATAAAATACGGGCAACATCATAAATTACTTTTGCAGCACTGTTTTCTACCAAGTCGTTATCTTTGGATAAGAATACTTAAAATGCTGGAGAAAACTGGACACACTGATCAGCTTCATATCCAACACAGCAAGACTGTCAAAGCAAGCAGGTAAGGAACACCTCAGCTTGCAGAACAACAGACTGGAGATCACTAGGCTTCAAGGAAAGTGGAAAACTACAGTATCCAAGGAGGCTCAGGAAGGGGCTGAGTATGACACACCCTCTAGCACAGCAGTGTTTCCCCCCAGGTTGAGAAAGAACTGAGAACACCACAAATACTGCAGAAGCAAGGTACTTTCCACACACAAAATATACAATGCAAATCCGAAACCAATGCTGGAAATGGTTAAGTGAGACATTTTGACATCACACTGCAGAAATCTCAGCAAGGGTTCTTTCTGGGCCTTTCCCTCCTTATCTCATCATGAGAGCCAGGTATGCCAGGAGAAGGGATAGATTAAGGACAGGGGAAAATGAGGCACAATCTTCTCCCCCTGCAGCTCTTTTCTCTTCCTTTGGGAGGGGTGGGGAAGAGAGAAAAAAACCTCCAGAACACTAAAATCTCTGATTGAAGGGGGTGTTGCTTAAGGCAGATTGTACAGAAAGAGACAGGATTGCTCAGTGTGGGAGTGTTGAAGTGGCGGGGTGGGGGAAGAGAGAAAGGAAATGGCTGTAAGCAAATGGAGGACACAGAGGTGGAAGTAGGAAAGCAGGGCGGGCAAGAGAAATTCCTGGAAGACTGGGGGGGGGGGAGAGAAAGCCATAGACGCTGGAGGACAAGGTAAGTTACAGAATCTGAAGGAGGAAGAAGCAGAGTCACAGAATTGTAGAGTTGGGAGGGACCCTGAGGGTCATCAAGTCCAACTCCCTGCAAGGGAGGGGGGAAGCAAGGGGATATTATTATTATTGAAATGTTTAGTTCAAGCATCCTAATTGGAAACAACCCAGTCCTTTGAAGTCTTCAGATTTAAAGGGCATGAATGCTACACTGGAGGAACTGTCCTAATGAAACCGTGATGAACCTGTACACAGCAGTACCAAGAGGCACCGCTGCCTTGTTTTTACCCGTCAACATATTATACAAGGTGAAATCCCGTATTAAAGACAAGCCCTGTCGGATCAAAGTGGAGCAGAGCCCTACTTTGCAAGGGTGTTGTAAGGCGAGTCCTGGAGAGCTCTGGCGACACACAGAAGCACTCCATATACACTGAATACTATGTTGTAGCACCGATCCCCTATTTACCCTGGCTTCTAACACTGGAGGTGTATATCTTTCGGACTCACCTAACTGTTGGGGGCTGTAGGTCGTTTTAAACCATTACTAATACTTGTTTCAATGTTGCAATCCTGGGACCTTATAGTGAAGGGCAGATAAATAACAATTACAACGACAATGATAGTGATAATCACTCGCTCTCATGACTACGGTGAAGAACATCACTGATGATGATGATAAAACAGCAATTATGCTACGATACGGGGGGGGGCAGTGGTCACCGGCTTAGACTCGGAAGAAACCAGTGGGTCCAAATCCCCGAACCCACCTCAGCAAGCATGAAGCTCACTGGATGCGACCTTTGCTGGTGGTGGTGATGTGTGTGTGGAGGAGGGTAGCCAGTCACTGCCCCTCTCAGCCTGACCTACCTCGCAGGGTTGTTGTTGCGGGCATGGGAGCAACAAGAAAAAGGTGAAATAAATAAAATAAACGCCAATAAACCGAGTTTAAACACTCATCCTAGGATTACACAATGAATCAATAGATAATAAGGAGGATTTCTGGAAGGTGGGGGAATTAAGGCTAAACATAAGAGAGATCTGAGGGGAGGGGAGGATGAGGCTGGCTGGCGAAGGACGCTCCCTGGTCCCCCGGCGGAGGCGAGCGTGGTCGGTGCGGAGGAGGCGCGTGGTGAGGGGAGCCATGGAAGCGCTCTCGGCTCCCTCAGCGGGTGCTCTCCTCCTCCTCCTTACCTCGATGTAGCCGGCCAGCGTCGCCGCGGGGCCGGTGAGCCCCAAGAGCAGCAGCAGGGACCATCCCAGCCGCTCGGTGGTGCCCGTCGCGGTGCCCGTCCTGCCCCCCGCCGTCACCGTCGCCATCCTCTACTTCTGTGGCGACCCTTCTCCGCCGCCGCTTGGAAGCAACTGCCGCCGCGCCAGCCTCAGCGCCGCCTTCGTCACCCGCGTGGGAGGAGCAACAGCCCCTGCGTGGGCGGGGCTTGGAGAAGGGAAAGAGCTTCCCCAAAGCCCCGCCCAGCTCTGGCGTAGCTTGCCAAGCAATTCCCCCTCCCCCCGCCCCGCTTTGAATAGACTGATCTCTTAGCCAATAAGAGGGATCGAGGCGCTCGCGTTTTTGTTTGTTTTTTTCATTTTCCTCCGCTCCAGTTCCGCCCCGCCAGTGTCGGCCAATCGAGGGCAAGAGTCAGCACAATGCGGTGTTCGGAGGAGGCGGGACTTGCGCAACCGCCCTCCCGGGAGGCTCGTTGGACTACGACTCCCAGAAGCCTAAGTGGGCGTTGGCAACAAAGGCTGATGGGAGTTGTAGTTCCAACTGTACCTGGACGGTGTCTTTGCGTTGAGAAAAAAGGAGAGGCATAAATTCATCGCAGTGAGGCGGGTGGGTGTACGGGGGGGGGTTGCTAAGCGTCAGAACACGGCAAATGCTGCTTTTCATACTGTCTCAACTGAAATCTCCATTCGAAATAGAAAAAAATGGCAATTAACACGCTAGAACTCATGGACATTCAATGAAGCTGAATGTTGGGAGATTCAGGACGAGATACGTGAAAGTCCTTCACGCAGAGCATCGTTAAACTATGGAACTCTCTCCCACAGGAGGCAGTGATGGCCACCAACTTTGAAAAAGGATTGGATAAATTCATGAAGGAGAAGACTATTCAGGGACACTAGCTCTGTCTCCACAGGTGGAGGCAGCAATCTTTCTGAATACAGTGGTACCTCAGGGTAAGAACTTAATTCGTTTTGGAGGTCCATTCTTAACCTGAAACTCTTCGTAATCTGAGGTACCACTTTAGCTAATGGGGCATCCCGCTGCCGCCGCGCGATTTCTGTTCTCATCCTGAAGCAAAGTTCTTAACCTGAGGTACTATTTCTGGGTTAGCAGAGTCTGTAACCTGAAGTGTCTGTAACCCGAGGTACCACTGTACCAGTTTCTGCAAACCACATATTAAGAGAGGTCTCTTGTGCTCTGGTCCTGCTTGCAGGCTCCACAGGTATTGTTCAGCCACTAAACATGCTTACTAGGGGAGCAGGCCTCACTGGAAACAGTGGCGCTTCTGAACAAAAAAGGGCATTGGGACCACTAAAGAATCACCTTTCTAATCCAGACATAGAAACATAAGAAGCTGCCTTATATAGTGTCAGCTTGTAGGTTTATCTGAGCTCAGTATTGTTCCACACTGACTGGCAGCAGCTCTTCAAGTCCTCAGATAGGGGTTTTTCCCCAGCCCCCACCGCAGAGATGCTGAAAGGGATTGAATCATAGAATCATACAATTGTAGACTTGGAAGGGGTTACAGGAATATTTTGCCCAATGTGGGCCCAATTCCATGACCCCAAGATAAAGAGTTTCATGTTCTAGCAACAGAGCTGTCCCAGTACCAGGGACCTTCTGCGTGCAAAGGAGATGCTCTACCACTCTGCTATGCTTCTTCCCCACTGCTATCGTCCTTCTAGACTAGAGGAATTGTGTGTGGTCTAGGACACGCTTTCTAACTGTAAAAGCGGTTTGGTAATAATAAAAAAGCTGCCAAAGGAGGCCGGAGGATCTTTTTCATTGGAGATTTCCAGGGCATCTGCTTTCGGAACAAACTATTTTGCTACAACCAGCAGTTGGGAGTAAATGGACCATTGTGTCTCTTCCAGCTCTGCAGCTCTATTATACGAGCCACTGGCACCCTAATCCTCAGCGTTTATGCCAGCGTGCGAGCCTGCAGCACCACTAGAATGTCGCTCAAATGCCAAGCTCTCGTCATGTTTTGCAACACTGCCCTGGCACAGCCCTTGGTACACCCAAAACTAGACATTAATTTCTTGGTGATGCTAGTCCTAAGAAACAAGGTTTGAAGGGTGCAGGTTAAAAGGTTTGCATCTGAGCAGCACACTGGCCTGCAAATGCACCTGTAACAGCAACTTGATTTGCAAACATTAGCAAGCAAAAGCACTTGCCTTCCTGCCACAAAAGTGCAATGACTAGACAATGCCTGCAGATTCAGCTGTTATGAAAAGCACAGGAGCAAGGTTTGCTAAAAAGTTGGCCCCCCACCCTCTTTCCGCCTCAGTCAGTCACTTGTTGCAACAGCCTTATGCTTCTGGAGGGATGTTGCTTTTAGCTGTAAACCCATTAAGGCGTATCTAGAATTTTACAGCAGGTATGATAAGCTGGTGCTTAATAGTATTTACATGCTTTATATATAGCACATTTGAAATTTAAAAGCATTTGAGACTCATTATGCCAGTAATCATCACAGCATTTGTGGTTTGAGGTAGGCCTGCAGTTATTATCCACACTGGCTGCATACCCAATTTGTGGTTGTTGTGAGATGTAATGCAGGTGAAAAAGTCACATTGCTAAGGCCGCAGTCCTTTACTTGGGGGTAAGAGCCTATGATCTTAAATGGAACTTATTTTTAAGTAAGCATGCATAGGATCAGGCTTCATGCGTCCCTGTGAAGGAGATTATACAGTCATACCTTGGCTGTTGAACGCCTTGGTACTCGGATCTTTTTGCTCCCAAATGCCACAAACCGGGAAGTCAGTGTTCCGCTTTGTGACCATTTTTCGGAAGCCGAACGTCCGACGCGGCTTCCGCAGCTTCTGGCTGAGTTCAGGAAGCTCCTGCAGTCAATTGGAAGCCACGCCTTGGTTTTCGAACCATTTTGGGAGTCGAACGGACTCCCAGAACGGATTAAGTTAGACAACCAAGGTACCACTGTATAAAGAGGTGGGAGAGTCCCAGATTTACAGAAGCCATCCTGGTTTCTGATTTGATCCAGGAATGTCCCGCTTTTTCTTAAAGGTAAAGGTAAAGGGACCCCTGACCATTAGGTCCAGTTGTGACCGACTCTGGGGTTGCAGCGCTCATCTCGCTTTATTGGCCGAGGGAGCCGTTGTACAGCTTCCGGGTCATGTGGCCAATATGACTAGGCTGCTTCTGGCGAACCAGAGCAGTACATGGAAACGCCGTTTACCTTCCTGCCGGAGCGATACCTATTTATCTACTTGCACTTTGACATGCTTTCAAACTGCTAGGTTGGCAGGAGCAGGGACTGAGCAACGGGAGCTCACCCCGTCGCAGGGATTCGAACCGCCGACCTTCTGATTGGCAAGTCCTAGGCTCTGTGGTTTAACCCACAGCGCCACCCACGTTTTTCTTAGGACATCCCTATTTTCATCAGAAAAAAAAGTTGGAGAGTATGGATAGGATGTCCCTATTTCTGTTGGAGAAATGTTGGGAGGGCATGAAAGTGTCATGTGCTTAAGGTTGCAATCCTACACACACTTGGGGTAAACACCCTTGAACCAAGTGAGACTTATTTGTGAGCAAACATGCTATATAGTACTATAGAGCTGTATTGTAAAAACGCTGTTTGGAATTCACAGAAGACCAGGGCCCGTTATGAAAGTAAAGAAAAAATTAAGCTGTTGCTTAAGAACATTGATCCAAAGTGAGGAAGGCATTTTGGCTTTCCCAAGCAACTTGTAATATAATTATCCATGGATTTTTCTCCAGATGCAGTTTTCAAGATGATATTTGCCGAGTTAATCAATAACTAACTGATGGTGTGGTTACTTAAAACTCAGAATGGCTCCCTTTATGATCATGGCAGCCAAAGTTCAAGGAGGAGCCCTTGGTATGATGCAGACAGGAAACACCTATGGCCACGATTGTTTGCATTTTGGAATCAAGACTGCAAAAGTGGAACTGGAACGGAGCTGAAACTGGGAAGCTTGGGGTGTTTCCAAAGGGTGTCGTGTGTAAGTAGCTCAGGCACGACTTGTTTGAGAGCCCACATCTGACAGCGAATCAAGTTTTTGCTAATAAGGCAACATGGGGTTGTTGTGTTGTGCAGCATCTGTTCCCAACATCTTCTGAAGCAGAAGGAGCGCTGATCTTTAAAGCCATAGGGCAGGGCTGGTTGCTGAACTACAATTCCCACCATCCTTGACCATAGGCCATGCTGGCTGGGGCTGGTGGGAGTTGGAGTCCAGCAACATCTGGAGGTCCACAAGTTCCCTGCCTCTGCCTTAAACTGGGTAGGACCAGATTCTCTGAAGGAATACCAGAACCCATGTGCATCTCCCTGAGTGTTAAGATCTGCCTCAGAGTTCCTAATCTTTGGCCCACCATTGGTGAAGATGACCAGGGATGGAGTCTTCTCGGTGGTGGCTCCTCAATTGTGATTTTTTTCTTCCCAGTCAGCGCCAGCAATGCTTCTGAATACCAGTTGCTGGAAACCACAAACTACCAATCCTACTTGCTAGTTTCCCACAGGCAGTTGTTCAGAACAGGATGCTGGACCACTCACCTGACCCACCAGGCTCTTCTTATGTTCTTTTCAGACTCAGTCTGCTGCTTGTAGGGATGTCTGTGAGTGTGAAATTAAAAAAGTTAAATAAAATCCCTCCATTCTCTTTTTAAGCACTTCAGTTGAAAGGATGTAATCAGGTCAGCCTTCAGTACTTTTTTTTTTTTAAGTAGGAGCACTTTAATTAGGCCCCTGATTGAATATTGAAACGGAAGGTGAGATCATTTGTAATAATCCGTGCAGGCGAGACAGTTCAGAGATGGAGCCAAAATTGACTCCAGGAGTTTGAAAGCAACCTGGAGGGGGGTGAGGAGGCGCAGGAGTAACGGGAGGCTTATCTGCGAGGCTTGAGAACAAAGTTGACTTTGCTGACAATGGGAGGATATGACCTAAGCAGGGAGATGGTTGCTGAATCTTCCATTTGGATATAGACAAAAAAACAAAAAGAAGTCTGTATGCAGAATGGCTTTGCTTGCCACGACTAATACGTAAATCTGAAGTTTTCCTTCCTACCAGACTCTTTTCTTTCCATACTCAACTGCAATATATTTACCAAACTCCAACATCCTTTGATGCAGCCATGAAGAATTGCCATGTTATATCATTGGTCACTTCCAATGAGAAGTCAGAACCAACTGTGAGATCTGTGCTTGGGAAAGGTGCCCCCTTGGAGCAGATATTTGGAAAGGATCCTGACCACCTGAATTACCCTTGAAAGCTTAATTTCAGCTCTGGTTCTGGAGGATAATTTGGAGATAAGGACACTTGGTTCATAGGAGACAGGCCACTGACTGCGAGGTCAGAGGGATAATTCTAATTAAAAGTGATGATTCAATGGCAAGGCAAGATAATAAAAGGAATCCAACTATATGCAAGGTTGTAATAAAACAGTAAGACGTTGAGCGGAAAGTTTCCACACCAGAACTGTCCCTCACAGCAGTCATGAAGCCCGTTTTCATCAGAGGGAGAGGTGAGGCAGCGGAGCCTTTCCATCACAGAATCGTAGAGTTGGATGGGTCCCAATGATCATCTAGTCCAACCCCCTGCAATGCAGGAAACACAGCGGAAGGAGTCCTGGCAGATGGACACTCAACCTCTGCTGAAAAACCTCCAATGTAGATTTTTAGGGCAGGGGGTCGCCATGATTCGCTTTATTCTGATCCAGAACCGTGCTGGCAAAACGCGCCTGGCCAAGTGGTACATGCAGTTTGACGATGATGAGAAGCAGAAGCTCATCGAGGAGGTCCATGCCGTTGTGACGGTGCAGGACGCAAAGCACACCAACTTTGTCGAGTTCCGCAACTTCAAAATTATCTACAGGCGCTACGCAGGGCTTTATTTCTGCATTTGTGTGGATGTGAACGACAACAACCTCGCCTACCTAGAAGCCATTCACAACTTTGTGGAGGTGCTGAATGAATATTTCCACAACGTCTGTGAGCTTGACCTCGTCTTCAACTTCTACAAGGTTTACACCGTGGTAGACGAGATGTTCCTAGCCGGCGAGATCCGAGAGACCAGCCAGATGAAGGTCCTGAAGCAGCCCCTCATGTTGCAATCCTTGGAATGAGGAGCAGAGAAGTAGATCGCCTCGGATCTCCCCCTGGCAAGATCCTGCCGCTACCCCCCCCCTCCAGGGCTCATCTCTCTTCACCCCGGTCCCCTGAATCAGTGACTTGCTCGGAGCAAATTTTTGCCACTTAACCTGTAGCTGGAGGTTTGCAGGAAGCGAGGGGGACATCTTGAATTGGCATTCCTAGTTCGGATTCCTAGCCGCGCTTCCTCCTGCATGGGCCGAACATGCGAAGGGGGCAGAGAGGACGCGGGTTGGGGCTGGGTTGCTTTTCTGGAAAAGGGTGGGAGTGGGGAAGTGGAGATAGCTGCCGTCACCCCACCCTCCCTGTGCTACCATCCCAACACAACCTTCTGTCTCTGCCCTCCGTGTCACCAGCCTGCTGCCCACCCCTCCCCGTCCATTCACATAAGAAAAAAACATGTTGCGCCGCTTCTGCCGTAGAAGAGGGACCATAAGTGTGTGTGAGTGTGCGTGATGAGTGTTTGTACTGCCAGTAAAGTGATGTACCGATTAAATAAAGCATCTATGGGACACTTAACCCCCCCCCCAAAAAAAAACAAACCTCCAATGTAGAAGAACCCACCACCTTCTGAGGGAATCTGTTCCATTGGGAGGCTGCAAAGCTATTTTTGGAGGCTGCCTTTCTCTGAGTCAGACCATTGGTCCATCTTGCTTAGTATTATCTAAGATGCTGTGGCTCTCCAGGGTTTCAGACGGGGGTCTTTCCCAACCCTACCTGCAGATGCCATGGGGGACTGAACCCAAGACCTTCTGCATGTGGAGAAGATGCTCTGCCATTGAACTATGGCCAGCCAGCTCCCCTCCACCCAGGCTGGCCTCAGTCCAACTGGGAACAAAAACCTAAGAAAATTCAGACCAGAGCCCTCTCTAGTCCATCTGCCATCTTCCTACGGTGGCCAAGCAGATGCCCCTGGGAAGTCTGCAAGCAGGATTTCAGGGCAGTTGAGAGACCCTCTCCCGCTGCGACTGAAATTTAGGTGCATGATACCTCTGGATCTGGCAAATTAACCCACAGCCATTGCGACAAGTAGACTTTGCTTTCTAAGTAGTTCTGCTTGCTAGAGAACAAGCCCGATGGAGCAGTGTTTTTCAACCTTTTTGGGGAAAGGCACACTTGTTTCATGAAAAAAATCACGAGGCACACCACCATTAGAAAATGTTAAAAAATTTAACTCTGTGCCTATATTGACTATATATAAAGTAATTCTCTTGAATAGGAATCAAATAAACACAAAGAAAGTATTTTATAATTACTTTATTATGAAATAGTAAGTAAACAGAAATATGAAAAATTATAAAATATTTTATTCAGTGCGCGACCTGGGCCTGTTTGGCTGAACACAAAGCTGATATTCTGGCTGGAATCGAAGAAAGACACACACGTAGCTCTTCGTCAACAGCTCTCAGTCTCTCTCTGTATTTAGTTTTTATAGCAATCATGCTTGAAAAGCTCATCTCACACAGATATGTAGTGGAAAATGGGAGCAATGTCAAAATAGCTTTGTTTGCCAGAAGGGGAACTCCTTGGCAGTATCCAACCAAAAACTGTCCAAAGGTAGATCAGCAAATCTTAGCTTGAAACCACGATTTTGTCTCAGTTCAGTTAGTTCCTCCTGCACCTGTAAAGTCGTCCTTTCCACCAACTGATGCTGAGCTATAAGGGTCCCTAACTCAGTCAAGGCATTCAGTGGAGACCGAAGAGAAATAAAATGACAACTTCTCCGGTCCTCCTGGTGACTCGAGTCACGACGTCTTCTTCTCTCCGCTGCTGCGCACACTGTGCTCGGGCGGGAAGGAAGTCGGAAGATGATGTCCTACTGTGATAGGTCCAGGCTGGAGTGGAGGGTGTCAGAAAAGTGGAGGGTGTCCCCCTGAGGAGCGCCAATCGGTGCCCCTGCTGGCCGAGGGTGGGGTCAAAAACCCCACACACCCCATACCCAGGACACAGTCCGGCGCCCGCCTAGTGGGTGAAAATTTGAATTTTTTTTTTTAATCTTTCAAATTTTTCAATTTTTCCCACGGCGCACCAGGCACACTAGTGTGCCGCGGAACAGTGGTTGAGAAACACTGCGATGGAGAATGCAGGGCAGTTCTAAGTAGGGTCCTTTGTGGAAAGTAAGCCTCGCCAGAGGAAATGTGTGTGGACCCCTACCCACATTTGATGATGAGATATTTGTAAAGGGGGAACTGATGGAGGAATCCAGGGACGGGGGGGACCTGTGGCCCCCTGTGTTATTTAGCTATTGCTTGCATTTATATCCCACCTTTCCTCCAGGATGCACAAGGTGGCGTACTTTGTTCCGTTCCTCCCCATTTTATCCTCACAACAACCCTGTGAGGTAGGTTCGGTGAAGTGCCCAAAGCTTCAAGGCTGAGTGCAAGAGGTTTGAACCCTGTTCTCCAAGATCTCTAGTCCAGCACTCTAACCACTGTACCACACCACCTCTCATTTCTTCCAGATGTTGCTGGACTTTGTGATAGGAATTTTGAGGTCTTAGATATATGTTAAATGTTCATAAATGTACCAACCAAGCACATACATAGATCAGCACAGGAAGACCAACCTCGAACCATTTTGATTCCTAAACTGAGCAAATGTTTTCTCTGCAAGGTCAAAGTGGGAAACCTCCCCATTGTCTCTTTCCTCACATTTCCTGTCTTAAGGGCACATTTAAGATATGAATAGGGTGTGAGCCTGTGACCTGGCCCAGGAACTAAGTATTTATCATTACAAAAGACTGGCCAGGCTCCCCAGGCAATCCAATCAAGTAACCTGCCAGACAAGAGATAAACAATGACAGGAGAAAAACAACATTAAAATTTCTATTTTAGACCGCCTTTTCTGTGATGTATCTGAGGGGTGGTCTTAGGTTACACCCCTTCTGTGATGTATGTATGATGTTTCTGGGGGTGGTCTTGATCTACAGGGTGGCAATTTCAAAAGTCTTTATAAGGCCTTGTGTGCCATTGTTCTGGGTTCCTCCTCCTCTCCTGCGGGTGAGGGGAGCACCCTGTTGCAACAGATCAATAAAGATCAAGCTTACTAGCTGCTTTGCTTCTCAATATTCTCTGGTTGGCCTCTGTTATTTTCTCCTACCAATAGGGAACCTATGTAAGGACTCTATATGGGCTCTTGGATACCCTGTAAGGGAAAAGGGCAATTTTTGTTTACAACAACTTCCAAGTCCCACCATCCCTGACCCACTGGCCATGCTGCCTGGGACCTGGCCACATCTGGAGAGCTGCAGTACATAACAGACTCCCTGCCTGCCATCCAATGTGGGGCACAGTTTCAAAACAGCCCATTTGCAGAAGATGATCGGCAGGGGGAGGGGGCCTTAACACCTCCCTCTCTCCCCTGCCTGTAGATTATCCCTTAAAAGAGCATGACCTGCCTGCGATGTCCTCAGGATTACAGGATCCAGCCTGAGATGGGTAGGTGGGTAAAGGTAAAGGTAAAGGGACCCCTGACCATTAGGTCCAGTCGTGGCCGACTCTGGGGTTGTGGCGCTCATCTCGCTTTATTGGCCGAGGGAGCCGGCGTACAGCTTCCGGGTCATGTGGCCAATATGACTAGGCTGCTTCTGGCGAACCAGAGCAGCGCACGGAAACGCCGTTTGCCTTCCCGCCGGAGCGGTACCTATTTATCTACTTGCACTTTGACGTGCTTTCGAACTGCTAGGTTGGCAGGAGCAGGGACCAAGCAACGGGAGCTGAGCCCGTCACGGGGATTCGAACCGCCGACCTTCTGATCAGCAAGTCCTAGGCTCTGTGGTTTAACCCACAGCGCCACCCGCATCCAGTGTCCTCAGGATTATAGAATCCAGCCTGAGATGGGTGGGTGAGAGGCAGCTTTAAAGCAGCCCCAGGAATATTTACAGAGGACCACAAGCTGGTGAGGAAGCGTCAAGCCCTGCCCAGTTCCCAATTTTCCCCTGTCAAACCTCCTCGCGTGTTTTCCTTAGGAGGGACATGCAGCACTGGGAACCCTGGGTATATATATATTTTCCTGGGTGCAGTTAAATTTTGAAGAGCAGACTCTCACCATGACAACCCACACTGCCGCGTCCCCAGGGAGAGTCAGAAATGCAGGCGGTCATGTTGAGCCATTATTATTTTTTACATGCACACATCAAATAGCACCACACAGTGTAATAGCAGATTTCTGAGGATGAGGGTGACTGTGATCCAGGGCGTAACTTCCTGGGGCTATGCTCCATAGAACTCAGTGGAGCTGACATCTGGCTGCACAGGACCCGGGTTCGAATCTCAGCATCTTCAGGTAGGACTAGGAAGGATCCCAGAGAGCCATGGCTGGTCAGTGTGGACAAGACTAAGCTGGGTGGGCCAGTGGTCTGACTCTGCACGAGGCAGCTTCCTTTGTCCGTGTTGTAATAAAGCCTATGGACCTTTAACGAAAGGTCTTCAGCCAGCTTTAATGCAATCTTGAGTATTTAATTAGACATGTAAGGCATCTTGCACAGAAGCGTTATCATTTAAGCTGCTTGGAACCCCATCAAAGGAGGAAAGAAGTATTCGGCCTCGATTCTTTCCCCCATTCTCTGACTTCCTGTAGGCTCATCTGTCGCAAATGATAGTAAAACTTGAAAGACTCGTTATTGCCTCATTCACTTGCCAGAGCAAGGAAGGACCATCAATTTCCCTGGCGCTACAGCAGATGATAGCATTTGCTTTTGCTCTGAAAAATAGTTCTGTAGCTGTTCCTTCCTACATTTCCCCTCCACGTCACCACTGTTTCATTTTATAGCCAATGTGGCATAGTAAGTAGAGCAGTCTATATCTCAACCTTAGCCCCCCCCCCAATGTTCTTAAACTACAACTCCCATCATCCCTGACCACTGCCCCTGCTGGCTAGGAATGATGGGAATTGTAGCCCAACAGCGTCAAGGGACCCATGCTTGAGAAAGGCTGGGTGAGAGTGTCAGACTAGAACCCAAAAGGCCAGACTTCAAATCCCCACTCAGCCATGAAGCTCACTGGGTGACCTTGGGCCAGTCGCTTCCTCTCACCTTCACCTACCTCACAGGGTTGTTGTGGGGATGAAATGAGCAGGGGAAGAACTGTGTACAACACCTTGGGCTCCTTGGATAAAAAGGCGGGATTTAAATGCAGTCAATAAATCCATGTAGCACTGCCCTGGGCAGTGGTGCAACTGGTAGGATGGAAGGCAGGGAGCCCAACTGTAGGGGGCGCCAGAGCCAATGGCAAGCAGAGTCAACTGAGTCTAGTTTTGTCCCTGTTCTCTGGCTTGATGGGTTGTGCAAAAGCATCATTGAAACCGAAGAGGAAGCTTGCAGGCAGGAGTGACACCCCTGGCGAGGTTGCAAATAAGAAGGCAAATGTGCCTGGAATTTTGGGGTTGGTGGGGCAGCTCCCCATTTGCCCTGTAGGGCAGGTCTGTAAGTGGAGAACGGGGCCCCCTGACATCTGAAGACCTCTTTCCTTCTGTTTTGCATTCTCACTCTAAAGCGCACCATTAATCTGGCTTTCAAGCTGGCAACGCCAGGCAGGTATTTTAATTAAAATATATTTTTAAAGGCTAATAGTGGCTTATGTTATCTATTATGCTGATGGATTACGATGATCCTGTCGCGGGGAGCAGGCTCCTTAAAGCCGACGACGGCTGCCTCCTTATTTTCTACGTATCGCTTCCCGAGCGGAATCTGTGATACTTTTGCAGAAGCACAAAGAGCTCACCGACGACGACGGACGCATGAGGGGGAGAAGGGAAATTGAGTCTGGGCCAGCTCCCTAGCAGAAGCGACCGTGGTCTGGCCTTCAAAGTGGGCCATAATGTATGCCACATGAAAAATAGCACTTAGCCAGCAAAATCATGACTCGCTTCTTAATGAGACGGGAGGAATTCTCTTTGTTCGGCCTGGTTTTCTTCGTGAGGCCGCTCTTCTCGCTGCCTGGCAGTTCACCAGCCCTGCTCACGAGGAATACAACGCATGGAAGTAACCAAAGGAGTAATAGTACAATGGTACCTCTGGTTGCGTACTTAATTCATTCTGGAGGTCCGTTCTTAACCTGAAACTGTTCTTAACCTGAAGCACCACTTTAGCTAATGGGGCCTCCCGCTGCTGCCGCGCAATTTCTGTTCTCATCCTGAAGCAAAGTTCTTAACCTGAGGTATTATTTCTCGGTTAGCGGAGTCTGTAACCTGAAGCGTATGTAACCCGAGGTACCAGTGTACGTGGAACAGCAACGGAGCAAGAGCGTGTGGGCACACCTGTGGAAAGAGCTCGCCCTCGCAGCCTCTGCCTTTCCCCACCCTTCCCTCTATCCTCTTATCTCTTCCCTACCCTGCTGACACACACACACATCACAACATAATACAGTGGTACCTCGGGTTAAGTACTTAATTCGTTCCAGAGGTCCGTTCTTAACCTGAAACTGTTCTTAACCTGAAGCACCACTTTAGCTAATGGGGCCTCCTGCTGCCGCAGCGCCGCCAGAGCACGATTTCTGTTCTCATCCTGAAGCAAAGTTCTTAACCCGAGGTAATATTTCCGGGTTAGCAGAGTCTGTAACCTGAAGCGTATGTAACCTGAAGCGTATGTAACCCGAGGTACCACTGTACGAGCCCTCTGGATCAGGCCAATGGCCCCTCTGGTCCAGCAACCTGTTCTCACACTGTCCAACCAGATCCCTGTGGGAAACCCGCAAGCAGGATTCGAGCACAAGAGCCCTCTGCCCTCCCATGGAAGCAGGGCGTAGCCATTGTGGCTAGTTGCCCTCGATAGCCCTCTCCTGCCCGAATTTGTCCAGTCATCTTTTAAAGTCATCTAGGTTTGGTGGCCATCTCTGCCTCTCCTGTAGGAGGGAGTTCCATAGTTCAACTAGGCGCTGCACAAAGAAGTCCTTGCATTTATCTGCCCCGAATCATCTAACATTCAGCTTCATTGGATGTCCATGAATGTTCCGAGACAGGGAGAAAAAACATTCTTCTGTCAACTTTCTCCATGTCGTGCATAATTTTGCCTTCCTGCATTGTCAACACATTTTAAACTGTAAGCTCCTGCAGGCAAAGCCTTGCCTTCCTGTTTGTGTCATCCTGCAGAGAACAATATGAATTGGTGGCTCTATCCAAATCAAGTGGGAGGCTTTGCTCAGAGGGTGGGGTGGGGCCGGGCCCTACTATTAGGCAGAGTGAGCTGGCTGCCTCAGGTGGCAGAGTCTAGGAAGCGGCTGTGAGGGGTTGGAGACCAGAGGTGTCTGTGCCACACAAGGACTGAACCTTGACCTCCTGAACTAGCCTGCTGCTCTCAGGTGCAATGGGAGATTTATTTATTTCTTTATCCAGTTTATGCGCCTCCCTCCCTCCAAAAGGAGTCCAGGGTGGGACCATCTCCAGCAGTGATTCAACAGCTAGTCTAGTCAGCTTCTGAACATGGAAAGGTGAGGGACGCCATCTTGGTTTTTGCGGGAGCCCCCAAAGAGGGCACAGATTCATATAACATTTCCCTGGGCTGATTTATATGCATAGATGCATGTTCAGAAAGCTTGGGTGAAATTCAGTATGGCATCATGGAATCATTCCATCAATTTCTGCTTGCCAAACAGAATGATCTCCCCTGCGTGCTGTTCTGGGGGTTCTCCTGGCACTCCAGAGCAGTATTGGGGGGTTGTGAATGAGGGGAGCAGGGGGAATCCCTGTTGCATTAGCAGCATCCATGCTCTGGCTTCTGATGGTGTGCCGGATTAGTTGAATCTAGCCCTATTACTATAAACAAACAAATAAATAAAATACACTGCATCTCACCAAAGTGGGGGTGCCTGCGACCCACTTAGCTGTTTGCCAGCCCTTACTCTCTTTTCTTAGGGTTCTTTTTGCTGAAACAGGACGTGGGACCAGGCAGCCCTACAAACAGAGGTCCTCTGCAAAGATGGCCACCCTACCTCAAGCTGCAAAATACATTAGGGCAGTCCTCTCCTCTAAGGAACGCGGTAAGCACTGCAAACTTCTCATGATCAGGGTGAGGGGCAGAGAGCTCAATGGAGCTATGCAAGATGTCTGGGGTGTCTGCTGGTGTGGTTTAAGCTGTGAGCCTCCACCCACGCTCAGCCCATAAACTTGTAAATAAATGCAAATATTGCCAGAGATTAGCCAGTCTGCAGTGAGTGCATTCTGCAAGAAACTGAACCCTGGTAATACAGCACTGGAATCCCTGGGCCATTGCTTGCTGGGGGTCTTGAGCCATGCATCGTGATAGATCAATAAAACCCAAGGTTCCTGCACACAGAAAGTTACCCCATAGGCCACAGAACTTGGAGGCGCAGTCGTAGAAGCCCAGGTTTGGGGGGGGGGGATTTGTTTTGTTCTCTTTCTACCCGCTTTCCGGAAAACCAAGTCCTTTGGGGCCTGATTCACTGGCTGTTCATCCAGACACTATGAAATGAACCTGTGCCGACAGGCCTTTTTCTTACGGCATCCTGAAGTCACCTTTTTATTGTTCCCCATCGCTTGTTTGTTGTGGTTACTCATTTCATGAGCGGCAAGGCTGTGATAACTGAGAATGTATGACGCACAAACGTTGCCTCCCGAAGAAACCTAATCGTTGCCACCCATCCAGTAGGCAGCGTTTTGTAAGGCAGTTTTTATCGTAGATACAAGGGATTCATCTCTTTATGTAGGCCATATCATCAAAAGCATTTTTTCCTCCTTGCTTTCCCTGATCTTCCTCTGCTACTGTTCCCCAAACCGTTCCATTTATAAGTATTTTTAAAACCACCTAATATTTTAATACCTCCAAATCACCATCATCCATTAATAGCCCTATTTACAGTTGACGCATTGAAATTAATAGACATGGCTAGTTTACATCCATTAATTTCAGTGAGATGCAACATATTATTATTTTGTTTATTTATTTATTTATGTTTGTTTGTTTGTTTCCAACATGAGGTCCTGGGGCAATTTAAGAACACAGTATTAAAAACAGTTTAAAACAAATTACTGTTACAAGAAGAGGCAGAGGGCCATAAAAACAGCCTGCAGACAAAAAAACCAGCAAAACGTTATTATAAACACAGAGATTCGGTAGTAGCAAGGTCTGATCTTATGGGTCATGGAGCCTGCACAAAAAGGGATGTCTTTACAAGACCTCTGAAACAACTGATGGATGATGTTTCACAGAAGGCAGAGGGAACAGCATCCTAGAATGCCACCCAGGCAACAGCAGAAAACATCCATTTTCAGGGCACTACCCTGATGTTTATAAAAATATCTGTATACTGTTGCGTCATTAAAAATATATATCAAACTGGTTTACAGCAATAAAAACTTAAAACCGTACAATACAAATTCATATTAAAAGGCTAAGAGCAGACATCAGTTAACCACTGTGGGCGATGCGTTCTTAATTGCCTGGCAGAACAGTAAAGTTTTCAGCGGGTGTTTAAATGCGGGTCCTTGCTGAATCTCTAGTGGCAGAGAGTTCCATAGGGCTGGGCCAATGACATCAAAGGCTTGGTTCCTTTTCGTTGTCAAATGAGCCTTGCTAACTCAGAGGACGCCCAGCGACGCTCTTGCAGATTATCTCAATGCTCGAGCGACGATAGAAGGGTTCAAGCGATCCGTGAGGTTCCGCGGAACCACATTGTGAATTAATTCAAGAAGCTTGAACCTGGCTCAGCAGCAAGTGGGCTTTGTAAAGGTATAGAGTGCTATGAGCAAAAATTCCCCCCAGAGATGATCTAAGTCCATCAGGGAACAACAGTGTCACATCAGGGCCACCCCATTCCTGGGACAGATGCTGAGAAGAATGACTACCTGAGGATTTTGTGGCCAGACGCCAACCCCCTCTGTAGTTCAGGCCACAAATCCACCAGTTACATAGACCCCATTCCTGTGGTCTTGTGGGGCCACAAGAATCTGCCTTATCCTGAGTCATAGGTTGGTTGATTTGACTCAGGGTTGCCTACAGGAACTTCAGCATCTCTCCAGGGGTTCAGGCAAGGGACCATCCTAGCCCTACCTGGAGATGTTGCCGGTGATTGAACCTAGGACTTTATACATGTGCAGCAGATTCTCTGCCACTGAGCTATACAGCTATACAGCTATACAGAAAGAGAGACTGAGGATCTGGCAAGGAGGACGTTTTTCATATCTCCAGGCTGAAGGTTGTCCCTGGCGGGGTGGAACTCCTTTGTAATAAATGTAAATCTGTCCTTATTCCCTTATGGGGGACACAAGAGCCCTTATAGAGTCCTTTGCAGATTCTCCATTGGTCGGAGAAAATAACAGAGGCTAACCAGAGAATACTGAGAAGCAAAGCAGCTAGTAAGCCTGATCTTTATTGAACTGTTGCAACAGGGTGCAACAGGGTGTGTCCATCCTTATATAGACATTTTAAATTGCCCATCTTAGAGTCCAAGACCACCCCCAGAAACATCATACCTACATCACAGAAGGGGTGTAGCTCAAGACCCCCCCCCCAGATACATCATACCTACATCACAGAAAAGGCGGTCTACAACCTCCTGTCTGGCAGGTTACCTGTTAACGCTTACTTGATTGGATACCCTGGGGAGCCTGGCCAGTCTTTTGTAATTACAAATACTTAGCTTCTGAGCCAGGTCACAGGCTCACCCTATTCATACACAGACATACCCTTAAGACAGGATTTGTGAACAAAAAGACAATGGGGAGGCTCCCCCACCTCCTCCCTCCTTGCAGAGGAAACATTTGAAAATGGTTTCAGGGTGGTCCTCCTGTGCTGCTCCAGACATGTGGTCCACGCATCTATGTATGCGCTTGGTTGGTACAATTATGAACATTTATTATGTATATATAAGACCTTAATTTTTTTATTTCACCTTCCACAAAGGAGCTTTTCTCCAAGGGAAAACAAGGCCCTATTGTTGTTGTTGTTGTTCTCCAGCAATGCAAAGGTCCTCAAAAGACAGCACCTGAGCTCAGCCAGAGTGCACAACACCTTCTCTAGCACCCGCTCCCCGTTGCTGCAACATCTGCTTTGAAACCGCTTGCGTTAAAAAATATAAGCCGTGTGTGTGTGTGTGTGTTGTGTGCAGGCTGAGTGCTTTGCAGCTCAGCACTTCCAATTATGAAAGAAGCTTCTGCCTCAGGGTCTTCAGGAACAATTCACTACTAGATATCTGGGCTCCAAGTCAAGAACACCAGTCAGAGCAGCAGCAACAGCAGCAGCAGCAGCAGGGGATATAGCAGGACACAGAAACAAACCAGGAAGGAGAAGCCACAGCTCAAAGAGGCCCATGTGGTGTCAGTGAGATGACTCTCTTTTTAAGGAATGAATGGCAAGGCAGCTGATTCTAAATTTCACAGGCTTGTCTCAGTCATTTGTCAGCACCCCAAAGGTTTACAAGCAGAGATGGAGATAGCTGCTGGGTATATATAGAGGCCTGTGGAGATGTTCAAGTTTCCTTTAGAATGCAAATTGCTGGTGGTTAATTCTTCATTGGAGTTTGAAGGGAGGAGAGAGTTCTGCAAAAGAATAAACCATGTGCGGGGACAAAACACTGACTTGTGATTCAGGAAGCATCAAGGTACTTTACCCGTGACTGGCACACCAGTTCTGGCTGCAACTAACTGTTGTTGTTGTTGTTGTTGTTGTTGTTGTTGTTGTTGTTGTTGTCATCACCATCATCACTATCTATATCCCTCCCTTTCTCCCAAAGGAGACCAGAGTTGCAAACTGATGCACATTTTTAAAACAAAGCAAAAACATTCTAGAACAGTTAAAATATTCTGGGCAAAGGGAAACCAGTTACAGCGTTCTAAACATATTATGAATGGGGCGGCAGCAGCTCCACCTATTGATTCACCACCATGCAAGATTAGAGACAGTGGAAAGTTCGGCTGTGGTGTGGTGGATGATGTCTGGGCTGAAGACTGGAGAGGTCTAAATCCCTTCTCAGCCACATCGTTTCCTGGGTGATCTTAGGCCGCTTATTTGTCTCTCAGCATTGAGCTACCTTACAGGGTTATTGGGAAGATAAGGGGAAAGACTCTGCTGTACACACCAACCTACTGCTCTCTAGGTCTTTTGGGGAAATACAGTTCCCACAAGCCCCAGCTAGCATGGTTAGGGATGAGGGCACACCGATTGCACATTATCCTGAGCAATGCTCCAATCTTGACAGGAGACATACAATTTTTCTGTGCATACAATTGGGGCGGACAGAGGCGAGTCCTACTGAGCACAGCGGGATTTCCTTCAAAGTAAACATGCGCTGCACTGCACATCGGTTAGATCAGTGCTGGGTGACATTTTTCAGCCTGAGGGTTGGATTCTTTCATGGGTGGCCTTTGTAGGGGAGGGGGGGTGTCATGCCAATGGTGGGAGGGGCCAGAGGCAAATGTGGGTGGAGCAAGGGGCACAGCTCTTCCCCTCTGTACAGCAGCTTTCACACGGAGTCAGAGGTTTCTGCAGTGGTGGACCTTGGACTCTCAAATTTCATCAGCGGCCTGTGCAACACTAAATTTGCGCACCCACCGCCTCTCTCACTCCAGTCTACAGCATGCTTTTGCTGTCCCCTGTAACTACGCCACCCTAAAACCGCCTTTGGTTTCTACGCGCGCACACACACACACACACACACACACACCCTCCTGCCAGGCTTGCGAGAGGCATTTGATGCAGCTCAACATCATATTCCAGCCAGGCAAAAGTACTTGAGGTGGGGACGGGGGCAAGGCCAGCGAGAGGTGTGGCTGGGGGTGTCCTGAGGAGAGTCCCAAGGGCCAGATGGCAGTGCCTGGAGAGCCACATTTGCCCCCTGTCTGGCCTCAAGTTCCTCACCCCCTGAGTCAGATCAGTGGATTAAAAACCTATGCAATTCATTTAAGGAAACCTCACAGGGTTGTTGTGAGGATAAAATGGGGACGAAGAGAACCATGTACACTACCTCAAGCTCCTTGGAGGAAGGAAGGTGGGCTAGAAATGCAATAAAGTCCCCATAGGATACTCAAGTATTCTGTGGGCTAGATGGGAAGATTAAAAACAATTTTGGAACACAAATACAAGGCCTCCAATGGCCTGAAGAACCCACTTACGCTTCTGTTGTGGTCTCTCTCGCACACTTTATTAACGTGACAACATTCAAATATGGCACAGTCACTTCTAGAAAGGCCCAGGGGTGCTTTTTGGCCTAAGGTGTTCATCCACCATTTTAAAAAAACACCCTATTATAAACGGATGAAAAATTCATATTGTTCTCACATGGGGAGAGCTTGAAAAATTGCTGGAACGCAAGGAAAAGGAAATTGTTTTGTCTGCTTTTATTGCCGCGCTGAACTGTCTCCTCAGAACACAAACGGGCTCTCCCACTGGAGACAGAGAGTTCCTGGAGGCACAGAGGCAAAGGCAAGTCACTTGCAACGTGATCCCTGGAGAGATGGAGAGGGCAGGGATTTTAACCGCTTTCGCAACTTCTCTGTAGCTTCAATTGGTCAAAAGACCCCACAAACGCTGTCAGGTCAAGACATCTTTGTTGTGGAGGAAAAGAAAAGAACAAATGGGATTTCAGCTTGCTAATTCTCACAGAACCGCATCTACTCTTCTTTCAAGAAGGGTGTGTGCAGAATTTTTTTTCCCACCTGCAGTTACTGAAAGGAAGATCTAACACTAATTGAAAAGTAGGTCGGAAGGAAATAAAGGCTGAGAGAAAAACAGCCTACAGGTTGTTCCTAAAAATGAATCAGTGAGAGAAGAATAGGCTGCCTTTCTCTCTGTCGCCCCCACTGGTACAGGTAACTTATTACAAGTATTGTTACTTTACTTCCAGTGCCATGAAGGGTTCCTTACCCCAAACATTTGAGCTCTCATTTTGCTCAAACACTGGAGTTCCTTCCCTGAGAAGATTTGCCTGGAGCCATTATTGCCATCTTAGAGGCACTGACCTAAGTCTGTCCTGTTCTCCTGACCTTTTAATAGCAACTGAAGAAAAGGAGAAGATGGTAACTGTGTCCAGAGCTGCCGAGTCGCTGGTTTGGCTTAGGCAGCCAAGAGGCTACTGGCTCCTCCCAGCTCCGGGTCGCTCTCATCGCCAGGCTTGCTTTTCATAACAAACCCATTAAAAAGCTTTTTTTGAAAAAAGAAGTAACGAATTCCACACCTGCTGTGCAAGTGAATGATTCACCCAAGCCCTTTTAGCTGGCGAATGTCAGATACTTCGTGACTATTTACGGTGTGTTCTTTGGGCGTCATTTATGGAAAGATTATTTCTATCTGACAGATGAGACAAAAGATATGAAGAGGGCATCAGGCACCACAACCCCAGATGAACCCGTGGTGCTTGTTGAGAGACACACAGAAAAAGTCCAGGGCTATATGTAAAGCTCTGGAACACCCCCCCCCCAAAGAAATCCTGGGAATTGTAATTTATCCCTCCAGAACTATTATTCCCACGGCCCTTAGCAAAGTAAAGTCCCCAGGGTTATTGGGATGTGTATGTGTGTGTGTGTGTGTGTGTGTGTGTGTGATTTAAATTTGTGGTGTGAACCATTGAGAGGGATTAATGGTTAAACCACTTTGGAAGGAGAACAGGTGCCTCGTGAAAACTCTCAGCACCCTTAAAAAAATAACCATAGCTCCCAGAATTATTTGTGGGAAGCAGTGACTGTTTAAAGCAGTATCATAGCACTTTACATTCATGGTGTGAATGCGGCCCTCGTCTTTCTTCAGTCTGATCTATACCATGCCTGAACTTTGCTTTGGACCCAACTTGAGCGTTGCATCACCTCACACCAGATCCTGACAGAAGAATTCTGGACCAAGTTGCAGATGGCGGTTATATTTTGCTCCCACCAGACTCCAGGGGTACTGCATTACAAAATCAGTATTTAGTCTGAGAAATGATATGCAAGGAAATAACTGCCTATGATAACGGAGGAGGAGGAGGAATATGTTTCAAATGAATTTATACATAGGATTTGGCAGCTCTGAACCTGTTGGAGCTCTCCTTGCACTGGTCTGCCTTTTCTTTCAAGGAATCACTTGCGTTCAAGACTCTCATGCGTTCTTGCTGATAAAAAAAAATATTGACTAATTGCTTGCACTTCAAATTACACCCCAGCATTGCTTTTACACATCGCTGATAGCTCTTCTCCATCTTCCCCTTGCTCTGCTCATCAGACATGTGTTAGGAAAACACAGTTGCTCTGAAGCTGGTTATCAGAGATACCTGCCCAGCTGCAGTGTGTGATCCTGCCTTAATGCCCATGCGCTGGATGCTACCTTAGTGCTCCTGCACATGCACTGACAATGGAGACAAAGTGTTGGCTCCAATGCTTGTCCTACTCCCTAGGAGACCTATTGAAATTAATGGACACTTCAGTGAGTCGACTGTATTTATTGCATTATTTATTCATGTGTCTCATCCACGAAAGGTCTGGAGGGTGGCAACGTGAAAACAGGCCTTTTCTGCAGTGGCTCCCCATTTGTGGACTGCTCTCCCCAGGGAGGTTCGACTGGCGCCTTCACTGTACACCTTTAGGTGCCAGGCAAAAACGTTCCTCTTCGACCAGGGCTTTGGCTGATTTACATCTGATGCCCTTTTAAATGTGTTGTGGGAGGCGGTTATTGGTTTGTTGTTCTTACTTCTATTATGTATCTTGTGGTTTTTATATTGTGATTTTATGAAGTGAACCATCCTGAGATCTATGGGTATAGGGCAGTTTACTTACTTACTTCATGCATCCCACTTTTTTCCTCTAAGGGGCTCAAGGGGGCATCCATTGTTCTCCCCCTCCTCATTTAATCCCCACAGCAACTCTGTGAGGGAGGCTGGGATGAGAGGCAGTGAGCGGCCCCCAATGACACCCAGTGAAGTTCATGGCTGAGTGAGCATTTGAACCCTGGTCTCCCAGCTCCTAATCTGACACGCTAACCTCTACAAACTTAAGGAAAATCAACTTTGTGAAACAATCCCTGAAGCAAAACACAGCCAATTTTGCAGTGCAGTACTCCAGCCAAGTAGTGTGTACTAGCATTAAGTGTGGGTGGGTTTGCTTGGAATCAAACTTAGTTGCATGCCACGCCATGCATTTAAAGCACTTTTATATACAGCAGTACCTCGGGTTACAGACACTTCAGGTTACAGACGCTTCAGGTTACAGACTCCACTAACCCAGAAATAGTACCTCGGGTTAAGAACTTTGCTTCAGGATGAGAACAGAAATCATGCGGCGGCAGCAGGAGGCCCCATTAGCTAAAGTGGTACCTCAGGT